TACAAATTAATTTAGCAATTTTAAACACAAAATGAATAAAGACCAATTAAGCTGAAAACTCATATTGCCATATTTCAATGCATAATTTTTTATCTTATTTTTGGCCGTTAAATTAAGAGAAAATAAATTTCCATATGGTTCCAGCTTTACGTATGAAATACAAAACCAACAAATAATGTTTGTCTCTACAGTCTGAAAGGGATAGCAGCAATATAAAATCCATCATGACTTGGCAAGTATCCTTCAGCCATTGCAACATGCTATATGATTTGCATGACAGAAAGTATAAAATGAGAGACTCAAGAACTTGACAGTGGATTTGATGATAATGTTCTATTTTGTCCAAAATGTACTGCATGTAAAAAATTTCATGAAATGTGCCACAGATTGGAACTAACTTCATGCAGCAGTCCTTCTTGAAAAGTTAACAGTTGCAATTCCCAACCTTTTACGGAATGCACAGGCATATTGTTATGTTGACAAGAACCTTCAGCTGATTCCTGTCCTAAACCAGATGAATACAGTCCATACCCTCATATCTTATTCCTTCAAGACCAATTTTAAAATTATCCTCCCATCTATGCTTATGTCGCCCAACTGGCTCCTTCCCCTTACATTTCCCAACTAAAATTCTGTATGCATTTCTCATATCTACCATATGAGTTACATGCCCCATTCACCTTTCCTTGATTTCACTAATCTAACATTATTTGGTGAACAATAAAAATTATGAAACTCCTCATTATACAATTCTTTTCAGTCCTCAGAAGCTGATTAGGCCCATTCAATTCCAATCCTTCATGATTTTCTTGGACTTCTGCAATGGCATATTCTAAAACAAATATGAAAAGGAACAGTGGTAAAGCATTTTCCTCTTTTAGACTAGTCAGAGTAGGAAATGCACCAAACAAATTGTTTACCTACAGAGATTTTATTACAGCTTTAATTTAAAAGGTTTTAATTAGCCTAACCAGTTTAATGGGTGTACCAAATTCAATGAGAATACTGTGGTGTGCTGCCTAAAACCTGGAATATCTGAACAGAGCGGGCATCCATTGCTAGACAATGGCCTGTTAAAACACATGGCCAGGACAAGCTGGAACAGACCACTGCTGAGCAACGCTCTGTAAACACTGCCTAAAAGCCGGAACAGTGGAGCCAGACAAGGAATTATCCATTTTGCTAGGCAAACATTCATGCATGTTTCCAAGAAAACGCATACATAACAGACCACTACCATGGAAATGAAAACCAGAACTAGTGCAGTTCCCGTGGCAACTGTTGGTTACAACAGACCAGAACAGAAACAAAGCTCAGAGTTCAAAAGGAAGTATGAGAGAACACAGAAAGTGGGCAACTTGTTATAGTTGAATTTGTGAAGTACTGTAACTGAGTGTAATTGTGTTAGTAACATCCAATAAACCCAATGATCAAATCCAGGATCAACAATTATTTGTCATCAAACCCATGGAACCCTGGACCTGTGACAATATTATACAGTACTTTTCTTTGGAGTCATAGATTTCCTTGAAGTGTATTAGATGATGTATTGTCTCACTATACTCCTATTTTGTTTCTAGTAACTGACAAAAGCAGAATGTCTGATCAGTACTGATGTATTACACTGAAATCCACGTGGATGACCTCCAATGAATTTGTCTATGTATGAGTTGAGCTTTGAGAGAAAAGTGTTAGGTAAAATTCTGTATGTACTTGATAATAGTGTTATTCCTCTGTACTTACAACTCTCAGTTTTATTACCATCTTTATGTAAAATAATACATTCCTTCCACTGCATCCCTGTTCCTAATATTTAAAATGAATGGATCTCATAACATTCTACTTCCTGCTGGGATAAATTCTGTTGAACTTGTTCTGTACCTGGCAATTTATACCATACCTATTGCTACAGAATGTACTACTACTTAGCTAATTCATGAAAAATTCAAACATAAAAAACAAATTTTCTTTTGAAGAGTTCTATTTACGAAGATATAATGTTGTGTACCTTATTAAAGTCATCGGACATTTTGGAGAAACATGTTACTTCCATCTTCAGTGTTAAAAAGTAAGCCAAGCAAGAAACCAGTATGGCACCAGCATTGGTTGCTGCCTGCTTCATGCTGGTTTCCTGCTTGGCTTACTTTTTAACACTGAAGTTGTAGGTAACATGATCCTACAAAGACTATATCTCACTCAAAATCATTTTCCTTCATGTGAGATTTGAATTTCAAGGCGGTGAATATAAAGATTACAGTCTTATGGGATCTGACACTGTGCAAATCAATGTTTTGGAAGAATCCACTGACTCCATCTTCAGGGCAGAAGAGTAAACAACATAAGAAAAGGAAGGTACAGAAATGGGGAAGATAGCCTATGAACCAGGTCTGCAAGTGAAAAAATGAGATGGCAGCCAACCTTCTATCCCTACATCCACTGTATCTTCCTGTTCTTTCCTGAAGATGGAAGCAGTAGGTTCTCCTAAAACACTGGTAACTACCTACCAAAGTACATGGTGTCACATCACAGAAGACTATCTTTATATTCACCTTTGATAACATATAAACTATGCATTTGAATTAGGTCTTGAAATAAATTTAGAAGTTTAATTACACGAATCCATCTCAACAAAAAGAAATTTCATAGGACCCTGCTACACAATATTTCTGGTAAGAGCATGACACTACGTAACTTTTAGCTGTATGTTTTCTCTCTACAGTAAAACTTGGTTATAGCAACATCGGTTTCTGCGACACCTTGTCTATTGCGTCAAATATTCAATGGTACGAACTAATTCCTCATAAAGCAACTGTTTTTATACCTTGCTTAGTACGACATGCACAAATGCATCAACCTCGTATGTAACGTCATTTTCATTCCTGAATTTCTCTGATATGGACATTGAACGTAATTTAGAAAGTGTGTATTGGGCAAGTAACAGGAAACAGATGAAGATAACTGATTACTGTACTCGTATCTAGGTACAGTAAGGCACAACAATTGATGTAATCTACTGTAATTTGGTGAGTAGGCCTACCTTTAATATACAGTATTAGTGCGGTGTGTATTGTCAGTGAAAAGCGCTGTAATATGTCTTTGATATTACACATTTGGGCAATTCCACGTTAATGTTACGTTAGTCTGTGCTTAACTACGTATTTCACTAAAAAATGCAACATTTTAACTCGGTTTTTGGTAGATTTTTACGTGACTAACATAAAGCTACTGTGGAAGTGCCCATTTCGGTTACAACGACATTCGTTTATAACGACACTATTTTTAGGTCCCTTTGATGACGTTATAACCAAGTTCTACTGTATATATAATGGGGTTATCCACCATCTATTTCATCTCAGAAACATATTCTGAAATTTGGTTCATGGAAATCTATACTAAACCTTTTAAGGAAATTATAAAACCATTCAAATGGTAAACTTTGATGTACAAGAGTGGTGAATTAAACTTCATCAGATTTCTCAAAAATGGTTCATTATGCAAAAGAATTTGTACACTACTTATATTACCAAATAAAAAAAAAAAAAACTCCATGGTGTTAGTCCGCAAGCGAATTATACTGACCGAATGGCTGCTGCTTGTCGGCGAAGTGCAGATAGAGGGTGCTGTGTGGTCAGCGCAATGAATCTCCATGGCGTTAATTTCGGTTTTCTAGACTGGTGCGGCTATTTCCTTGAAATAGCTCCTCAATTATCATCATGAAGCTGAGTGGACCCCATTTCAGACACACTATTTCTCAGAAAAAATCTGGTAGTGCCAAGAATCGAACCCGGACCTCTGGATCTGTAGCCAGGAACTCTGACCACTAGACCACAATGGTGGTCCTACTTATAATATCTCCAGATTTAATTAAAGTAAACTACTAAAGACACTGGTAAGAGAACCCAAAGGATCAACACTGCTAATACCAGAACCAGCCACTGCATGTGATCCTGGGCCACTTGCAGCCACCTCTCATGCTTATGATATACACAGGTTTCAATAACATCTCTAAGTTCATTTGAAACATTTTTAAAAAAGCAAAGAATTTTGAAACCCTGTACGCACCTAACCGTAATACACCGTTTCACTCAAATGCAACAATAAGTTTGAAAAAAGATAAAAAGAATTCATTTCTAAAATTGATTAATTTCCTGCCTACAAGTTAAAAATATGTTAAGCTTCAAGTGTCCATATACAACTAAATTTTAAAAACACATTTGAGGGTACATCATACCTTAAACAGGCAACCTCACAGAAGATATGTCTCATGTGTTCAACAAGACCTTTGGTATGACAATCTTGTTTCTCATGGTCTAAGTTTAAGAATTATGATAACCTTTAATAATGCACTTATGTCTGTAAATAATGTTATCACATGCTGTCTTATAACAAGAACACTCCTATAAAAGCAAGTGATATAAGTAATCACCAGGGCCTGGATTTTGTTGACATGTCATCTTTCTTTCCTTGTATCCTGTGTGATGCTCTTAAATATATAAATCTCGGATATGAGCTGCTGGTTACAGAAATGTAAATTTTATAGGTAACTTTTGTCATTTTTTGGTTTAAGGTCATTTTTTCATTTTTGGGGTTTTTTTTTTTACTTTTAAGGCTATTTCTTGTTATTTTTTTGTAATTTTTCTTCATATGTTTTCTGAAATGTGAATAACATGGAAGTGAAGTGTTCTTTCTTTTCTCCTTTAGGTAATTTTTCTGGATTTTTTTAATATTTTCAGGTCATCAAAATCCGGGCCCTGCATATTTTGGGGTCATATTTTAGGTAATTTTTCTGGATTTTTTCGGTCATTTTTTAAATATTTTCAGGTCATCAAAATCTGGGCCCTGGTAATCACAGATGAAAGAATAAAGAATGTCTCATTTCTGTTAATTTCTCCCAAACACAGCAAGGCCCTTCCTTTCTCTCTTATTATAGCAGTAACATGACTGCCCACATCACCTGCAAGCTTATGCATTTCTCAAAGTGGGGATGGATCTGAGATGTATTCAGGAAGCACATAAACTTTTTATTGATATATAACTTTACATGGAAAGTAGTTCCACTTCTGAAAGTTTTATGCACTTTGTACATTTATGATTTATACACTCACTTGCTTTAAGTACGATCTCAAGGTATTCTACCCACATGCATTTTGTTATTAAGGGCATATCAGATTTTGTCTATGAATTTGCATAAGACTTGATCTGTGAATAAGATAAGTATTACTTCTAAACAAAAATAGTAATGTAGATCATGATATATGCATTCAGAATGTCAGTACTTAATTTCATCATCCATGCATCCCCTCTGCCATCTGGTAAGAGAAATCTTGATTCGGTATGTTTGAATTTCAAACTGATGTGAAAATACCAAATGCAGTAATTTTCTAATCATGAAGTAACTGTCTACATCAGTAAATTACGTGATGATGATGCACCCTCAAAAAGTTTTAGATACAGTCTAATAATCATGTGTCAGCCAATTCTCTTCCTTCTGACCTAATACATCCTGTCTTACGTACAGTTAACTAACAGTGATTCATTTTTAACCCACTTCAAACCTGTTCTAAATAAACTGGCTGATACAAAGACATGTGTGTATGTGTAGGGAACATCCCTTCCTGTCTCCTAAATATAAGCGCCTGCTTTCACAGCATCTGTACCATCTGATTCTCTTATTTTTGGCACTGTCATTCGTTTGCTTTACATACAGAATGTTAAAATATTTATACCCACTTTTGCTACTGATAAAGAATAACAATATGAACTGCTGATTAGCTGAACAGTTAATAGTAAGTATAATACACAAATATTACAATGGACGGTAATAATATATTGAAAAATATGATCAGATTTTGCAAATGCAAGATTGTGAAATGGATGGATTTGTACGTGCTAATTATGGACAAACGTATCAACAATTTTACATACTGTTCTGAAAATACAAAATCTAGGACCATATATGTACATTTAAGTCACACGAAAACTGATAAGAAAATCTAAATCAATTAAATCTAATTATGGGAAGTCTGCTTTATCCATAACATTACAACAGTAAAATAAAGTATATAGGTATGGTATAGTGACAATTGGATTTCATGTTTAGTTTATATTTTAAAGAATCAAATGATTATCATAGTTCAGTCTGGTCCAAACCTATTCATAAGTTAAATCAAAACTCCATGCAAAATATATAAAAATATGTTCCTACGCTTCGCTTTTCATCTATTCAACCTCTTCTGACCTGTAGTACTGATATAATACTGTCTATCTACATCTATCAAACTTTTGTCTACCTGTACTGTTACCCCTTTCTTCATAATTAATTTACAACCTACAAACTTTGGTCACTTGCAAATCTCAACAGATCTGTTTATCTCCTTTTACTGAAACAAGGCTGAAAGCCTTCACATCAACCACTCCTTAGGGAAAACATTCAGTCACAAAGAAGACAAGACAACAAATGCAAGACAGAAAATCAAAATACACAACAATCACATTAGAGAATGAATTATAAAGTAAAAGGAAGGTAACCACATGTGACACAAACTGTTACTACATTCCATTACTCAGTACTTTTAAACATCACAACAATGGTGAACTTTACATGACCAGAGTTTAATATGAATAATTCATTAGTCCATATTCAAAATCTGTACATTCAAACCAAAAAAAAGGAAAGCTTTATGCTGACTTGTAATGCTAAGCCTTTGTGGAGTTCATTTTACAAAGTCCTGCTGAAACAATGTGTCAGTTTTACTACTCATCACAACATCCCAAGAAAATCTTGAGCAATAAATTCACCATTTCCTTCAAACAAATGTCATGGTACTCCAGTCTGACCTCACATAAAATAAATACCTTAAATCTGCAATATTGAAACCTTTGTACTCCTCATGAAATGTTGCATGAATTACGTCCTGTACAACTTGTTCTTGACGAGTCCATTGCTGGAGGGGAATTGGACGAGGATGGAGATGTTGCTCCAGTTGAAATACCTCCCACAAACTTCAACTTTTTGTGATGTGCTGACTGTCCAGTCTTATTACCAACTGAACTTCGATTATGGTTTAAAACATAACGGTGCTGCATCGATGTGGTGTAACTTGTCATGGCATATGATTTCAGATGAGATTTTATTGCAGTAGGAAGTGGAAGTTGGTCAATACCATAAACAGTTGTTCGGGCGACAATTGCACGGCAGCATAGCTCCTGCAAGCTCAGAACTGTGGGACATAATAAAAGCCAGAATTATATGGATTCACATTCTTTGCAATACAATGAAAATGGTTGGCAGGTATACAGTAAATCAGAGTCACTATCAAAATTACCTTTTGTTCATACAATGTACACAAGAGAAAGCAAGAATGAAAAATCAATGGTGGGTTCTGTGGCCTGTGAAGAATTAAAATAGTCCTATAGCTCTAATCAAACCAAATTGATACACCGTGTAATGTTACATACATGACATTGAATGTAATATGCATTACTTAGAATAAAAAAAAGAGCTACTACACTCCTTAGATGATTACTTACAGAATGCTTTAAGCTATCCTTTAAAATTACATCCACTGAGTAAATAAAATATTATTCATATACAAGATGAAGGTTAAAAGCTTAAGACCGCGTTACATTAAAAATCTTACAGTTAAAGAATACACTCTCAATCTTCAAATTTCCACACATTAAAATCTGTGTTGCAACATGACATTTTTTTTATCAATATGCAGAAATTATTTTTATTTTGTATTTGTATTTGTATTTGTATTTATATTTGTTCAAGAAATCCAAAAAAGGATATAGAACATGTCACAGAACTAAATATAAAACAGGATACATGCATAAATTACACGACTAGATAGTACAATGAATCAAACAATAACAAGTTTCAAAGATCCAAAAAATGGATATAAAACATGTCATAAATAATACAAAACATAAAATACNTATTTACATATAGCACAACAATTATTATGTGTTTGCTGTTTAGCAGTTTCTAGCCTTTCAATTTTTGAATTCCCACTTCTGGTGAGCACTAATAACTAGAGTACAACTAACACCTGAAGCAAAAGCACTGATAAATGCAAGTATTTTAAATGTGTCATTTTTTACACGCCAAATATGTCAGAGATAAAATTACATGAATTATAAATAAACAAGAATTATTGTTTCATTCTCAATTTTGATATTTTTTTCTGAAATAAGTGAGGCATTTGTCTTTGTGAAGAATGATCTACTGTGATTGGCACCATGATCAATTATATTTTAATCACATATATATTTATGTACATGTAAACTTATAAAATCAGGCGGTAAAAAGCTTTGTTAATGTACTACTAAATGTAACAGACTTCAGTAATCTTAAGATATGCTTAGAATATCAGCCCATTTTTTTCAATAGTATGCATACAGGAAAAATGGTCACAATGCAAAGCCATAGATCTGACAGTGCATTGTATGCTCTGACCTTCAGGATAAAACAAAGTACGACACTACTGGCAAAAATTTAGGGGGAAAGTCCTGCAGACACCATTGTTGACAGTTTGGTAATGTTATCTAGGTTTGGAAGACCAACAGAAGAGTTAAATATACAAGTTATGAAGTGTATGCATCAGATAACAATTCTTCTTAAATACCTTAAAAACTATTAGACTTAGGGCCAATCAGTGTTGGACATCAAATGTATCATTCACTTTTTATCAGAACTCTTTTTTTGCTATGATAAATGCTTAATGATTTATGTCCAAGATATGCACAGACATGTACTAGGTCTACATGCAAAGTGTCAATTATTTTGGTCTGATTTTAACTTAAACTGGAATGTGTCAAACAGATTTTACTTAACGATTTCATGAAGTCCGTTCAGTGGTTCTTGAGTTCCGTGGAGCTGATTGCTTCTTTAAAAGCCAACAGTCACCCAGCTACTCAAGCATTTTCCAGAACCAGAAGGTCCATTACCTTGTTCACAAGAGCCACAGACTGGTCTTGATCCCGAGCCAGATAAGTCCAGTCCAAAACCCCACATCCCATTTCTCTAAGATCCATTTTAGTATTATCCTTCCGTCTATGTCTCCTAGTGATCTCTTTCCTTCTGGATTTCCACCAAACTCTGCATACATTCCTTTTCCCTCCCATGGGGGCTACATGCCCTGCCCATCTCTTCCTCTTTAACTTCATCATTTTAATATATGTGGAATATGATGAACATACAATACAAGCCTACATCATAATCATTACAATTTTTCTTATATATTGAAGATTTTGCATTTTGAAGTATTCACAGTTACATTGCCAAAAAAATTACCCAGGATAGGTTACTACACAGCAGATAAAATTCCCCATGCAAGTGGTTAATAACAGATTATAACTAATTCAGTGAAAAACTGCACCATTTAATTACACTTGAAAATATTGCTAAACTGGACATGTTAAAAGCTGTGAAGTTGTGTAATTCAATTCAATTCAATTCAATTCAATTCAATTCTTTATTTTTAATGTGCNTCATCCCCCCAGAATCATGATAATTAATCCAAGTTAAGTTAGACATTAAGGCAGCTGTGATCCTATTTTTATACACTGTAATAAACTCAGCATAATATACTGATAAAAACCAGACAGAACTACATTATCTCTGTGACAGCTACTGAATTTATAATTCTAGTAAAGATGACTGACTCCTTACTTGCTATCACTGTAAAATCAAAGCAATCTCTGCCCACATCCCATGAAACCAAAGGGTTCTAGATAAACCACTCGGAGAACCACTGTTCTTTAAAATTTGCCCCCAAAAATTCAGTGTTGTCAACTTGATTACCCACATGTTCATTATTACATACACTGTCACTAACCTTTGTTTGATCTCCAGAGCCTCTCCATTCCATTTCGATGCAATGCCATGCGGGAGAGCTCGCTGAAACTCTCACGGATATTAAAGTCACATAATGGACTCACTTCAAAGAATGCCATGCGGTTCTTTGCAGCATATGTTTCCGCCTCTCGTGCCCCAACCTGACGCTTGAAGGCTAGGTGAAGACGGTTTCCGACTAGTACTTTTGGAACACCAGGTGCATGCTAAAATAAATCAACAAGCATCAACAGGACTCCAGAAAAACACTCATCCACTCACCTTGGGCAAGTTAGTGGAAACTGGAGACAAGTATAAAAATATATCTATGAAACAAATTGTTGGACTGCAGAAAGTGGATTTTGCTAATGGCTAGTAGATTTAAGTTGTATTTCTTGAGGCCTGATATTCAGTACAGAGAAACGCCACCACACTGTATCAAGACCAACTCCTGATTCACTGACATTAAGCTGAAGTGTGACACAGAAATTATGATTACTACCAACACAAAGCTTTTTAACAGATTTATTAAAAAAATCATAACAAACAAATAGGCTGAAAAATAAAACTAATTATCAATTTTACTATATTATGGTGAATAATGCATTGAGAATAAACTGTGTTGTCTTATGGGCTGCTACTTCCGATGGCACCACCTTTACGAAGCCAAATTTTCCATTTCCATCTTCTCACGATGTACTGTGATGGTGTTACAATGCTCCTACAAAATGGTAGTGAATGCTTCCATTGGTGATAAAAGCAGAAACGTTTCTGATCAAACTACATCTCCAGTCGCAGAAAAAAGAAATAAACATGTGAATGGTATAACCAGAGCCTAGGTAGGATCACATACAATTCTGTGTGCATTACACATGTTCTCTTTATGCTGGCTTATTATAAATATCTTGCTACAAATACCTGTTGAATGTGTCTGAGTCTTTTATAACACCCTGCAGCATCCTGTCACACATTGTACTCCAATACATAGTACTGAACTTTCTGAGGTAACCTGGTACTTATTGCTGCAGCTCGAAACGTATGACATGTATTTTATAACTACCGTACTGACTAAAAATAATATGATTTCAAGTATGTTCCTTACTTATATTTGAGTTTCTAATTTTTGTGGGTGAAACCAATAGCAATAAAAAGTTTGTTGAGATGTGGTTAGAGAAATGCACAATTACACACATGTGCTCAAACACACAAACATAAAACAGCACCTCCACATGTAGGTTTAGTATCTCAATGTGTTAAATTTTGTCACAATATAGGCTTGAATGAAACAAAACTGATGATACAAGCATGATCCAGAATCAGTTACTAACCTCCTCAACTTCTTTCAACCAGCGGTCAATACCATCAAATGACCATTTGTTTGTGATGTCATATACTAACAGTATACCTTGTGCTCCACGGGAATATGATCGAATGATAGTACAAAACCGACCCTGTCCAGAAGTATCCCATAGCTGCAATTTTACACGCTTTCCATCCAAAAGTATTATTGTAGTTTTATATGCTGTAAGCACACAAAAAATAAGGCCATTAATCCATCACACTGCCTTTAAGAAACATTAATTACAATAGCTTTCATGAAGCAAAACTCTTTTATTATTCACTTGACGTATCAGTAAACACATACATGTATCTGCGAAGTCATATTCTTACCCCCTCCACTGCAAAAGGGTGATTCTGTTGACCCATCTTCAAGACCACTTAAGATTTCTTGCTTGCCTACATCACTGTCACCAACTAACAAGAACTTGAGTAAGTAATCATATTGTTTTGGTTGAGAAATTGGTCTTGGCTCCAGAGCCATAACACAGTCTTTTGTTTCTCCTGCGCATAATAGGCTTTTTATTCAGCTCCTAATCCTTAACCAGGTAATTACTATCACTGTGATACGTATGTGTTATTTCGTACTTTAGAGAGTTACCTGCACCTTATATTAAATTATATGCACAATCACAAATTGAAACAAATTTCTCTTTCTGAAGTCACTGCCCTACTTCGTTTGACACCGCTTTCTGGACCTTCTGGACGTTGCACATAACACCAATATGTTCAATTGCGCCAAGAAATACAGGACTATATATTTCTAGATCTAGATGATCTAGATGGCCATGGAGTAGATATATATGTAGTGTAGTGTGAAATGTCCTAATGTAATTGTAATATTGATAGAAATGGCAATTTATGGTACTTAATACACAAATCCCTGTCAGTGCCATGTGATGTTCTATGCCAGTATATTTACCAACTCTAATACCTTTATGCCTCAAAAATGTAATGAAATAGGACACGTGTATTTCGTACAAACATAACCCAACATTTGGGCAATTGACGTCAGTGTTTCAGCTCAACTAGATGTTAAGGTTGTAAATATGGATACTGTGAAATCGGGACCTGGTGGTGTTCTGTCAGAAATTGTGGATAAAGTGTCGTTCGCAAATTTCGTAAGTGTTAGAAACGTGCTGTAATATTTCACTATATAACAGCATGTAAACATGCAGTAACATCAAAGTGCATTAAACAGTCAGCATATCAAGCATTTGTCTCATGTTAAAGAATGTGTGCTGCATGCTATTAAATTGCAAATTATTGCGCCTGCTTACACAGTTTTCATTCTTGTATCACCCATTGGCAGCCCACTTATTTAACTGAATTCATTATATCAAGACGACTTTAAAATGTTGGTTACTCATGTTACAGCTACCACTTTTAACCAGAGCAACAGCAGAAAATGAAGAGCCAACTGCAGGATACATGTTCAAAGAAATTGAAAGTATCCTTTTTATATATGACAATTTCTGTATCCAGTGGTCATGTACCTGAATGGATCGATGAATGCTAATAAATACAATGCAATACAATATCTGCCATAATATAGGGTAGTTACTTTTTATGAGGATATGACTGAATGTCTTTGTGGTTTTATATGATCTGCCTGAACAAATATTGAAGTACTGTCATAAATATCTTGTTTGAAACATAGGCATGAAACTGGTCATTGAAGCTGTGGTATTTTCTTGCAAATAGTTTTCTTAAATTCCTTCAGACAAATCTGAATGAGCCACTTTGAAACATGAAGCAGATCTAAATAATATGTAGAAATTCCGTCCATATCTCACAGGAAACACTGAGTCTCCATTACAGACAGCAACTAGTTAATGCAGTTTATTGTGAGAATCACATGGAACACACTAATACACTCTGTGGACAAAGTGCAGTGTTTTCTTATTGTAAAGCATGTCATACATGTAAAAGAATTAAAATAGCAAGATTAATTTATAATTTTGACATCCATATATAGAACCTGATAACAGTGCAGGTCTCTATGTATACTGGATATTTTCAGTACTCGCCCTAACCAATTATCAGAAATTACCTTTCAAGTTCCACCACAATGTCAGCAGCTAGCAGAGTATTTGAACAGAAGACTGGAGAAACCTTCAGCATGTGTTAAACTGAAGGTAATTAGAGAAAAAGTGTAATATTAAAATTACTAGCTCTACTCTGGAGCAAGTATTTTTATTAATTTTGTTTCAGGTTTTGAAAATCATGATTTATTTGATCCAAAATGGCCACCTAAGTTTTCGGAGTTATTTAAGAAGAAACGATGGTTATATAAAATTGGCAGGAATGTATAATGGCCCACCTGATCCTCTTCTTGGGATGAGTCCATATGAAAATGTGAGAAAAACTGCTCAGGTAATGAGTTAACCTGTTTGGAACACTCATGAAGGGTCTCAGGTTCAAATCCATTTTATTCCCTGAGTATGTGTGAGACTGTGTTTGTGTGTTTTAAGAGACGTGAAACTGGTAAATGATGTTGCAAACTATCTGAATGTTGACATATAATGAGTACATAGTTACTTCATAGGATTAGATATTCTCATGGCAATGGATATTAAGATTGTGGCCTTCTAGGATCCGAAAATTTATCATTCTTATAAAGCCATTAAAATGCAAATTTATAATGTTCATATGCTTACCCACCACATAAGCAGTTTTCCTAATTGTTATTAGCAACGTTACCCACCATCCTACCTCATGCAGTTACCAATATAATGCTGGCTAGAAAGTAAAGTAAAGGTATCCCTGTAACAGGCCTTGGAGGCCCATAGGGTTGTGAGATGTTGAGGTTCCCACATTTTCTAGACAGCTCATAGATGGCGGTAAGGTTGTCAGCCTTACGTGCCGGCCACCCTTTACTCCAAAGAATATTCCAAGAATATTCCTCGTACTCATTTCTGTTAAAGGCTGAGTCGACCCCAGGGCTATAGTGTGGCTGGAAGGATTAGGTAAATTGGAAAAAAAAAAATCCAATGACCTCATCATACACTGCCAACACTGATGGACAGCATTGCTCCAAGTTCCTTGATAGTGATGTGCCTATTCTCACGAATAAGCGTGTCTGCACAATCAGTGTTTGGCTTGGTGTCGGATGTTCGCGGCCGACGATCATGCAGTTCATTCTCCACGCGCTCTCTGCCCTCTCTGAAGCACTTACACAACTCAAACACACGGGTCCATGAGAGACACTCTTCCCCATACTGTTGTTGGAGTCTGTGGTGAATTTCAGCGGACGGGACGTTTTCTCCAATGAGGAATTTGATCACAATGCGTTGTTCCACACTCCACTGTACCTTCTGTTCTCTCATCATACTAGCAACTCCCAGACAGGACTGAACAGGTTCTAACCTGAACAGGAGGGAAGGTGGAGGTTGTGGCTTCACTCTCTCAAGGTTGCACAGCTGCTGCTCAGTGCAGCTGGTTTACACACAAATCAGTCCCGGTCATGTTTGAACCACCTTGTAGTTTACCCTTGCCTTCTCCTCACCACTGAAGATCCAAAGTACCAATGAAAACAGATAGTAATGCCCTCAAGGAAAAGCTCACCCCCTGTTCAGATGAGATATATATTTTTTACTTTACCAGTTCAAAGAATGCATTTGAAAAATGTGTACTGTACTGAAGCAAAGCTTTCAACTCTTTGTATTTTAACCATTCATATTAGTACAGATAACTGATTTTAACTACACATATGTAACTTTCATAATCACACACTCTTGTACTTTTACATGTAATTTTAAGTTATATTCAGTGTACCATAAATATGCTCTTAAAAATTATACACTATACAGAATTCCAGATCACAAGTTTTTCTTATGATTATGGATTGACTTAAAATATAATTCAGGCATAAAAGGATTATTCTCACAAATAAAGTACCCTTGTAGTTGATAAAAACTCGGTAAATTATTGCAATGCAAACTTTACACAGCCCAAAAATTCCTGTTACATACTTATAGTTAGACTACCATTCTCTCAGTTATCTGGTGACTCATAATCAGGTCTACCCATCACACTTAATGTGAGGAAGAGGAATGAGCCTGAGTTCAAACTCATGGAGCTGAGCCCTTCTTGAGGAGCCGCCAAATCTGCAGCTACTCAAGAGCTTCCCAGCATTTTATCGAACCCGAAGGTTCATTACCGTGTTCACAAGAGCCCTCCACTGGTCCATATCTTGAGCCAGATCAATCCAATCCATCCCATTTATCTCTCTGAGATCCATTTTAATATTGTCCACCCACCTACGCCTTGGTCTTCCCAGTGGTATCCTTCCTTCCAGCTTTCCCACCAATGTCCTATATGCATTTCTCCTCTCCAACATTCATGCTACATGCCCTGCCCATCTCATCCTCCTTGACTTGATCATTCTAATTATAGTTGAAGAAGCATACAAGTTCTGGATTTCATACAGTTTATGGTTTTTAAGGAACTCCTGGACATGTTATTCAATCCTGACTTGGTTCAGCAAGATGATACAGGAGTAGTAGTGCAGACTGAAGAAAAAGGCAGGCTGCAGCTTGGAGGTTTGGGTTCAACAGGGAATGCAAAAGGAAAGTATGAGGGATTTGGAAGCAGCCCTGTTGATAGAGAAGGTAATGTATTATGTATGCATGTCAATTATTTTGCCTTAAAACAAATGTAGGATGCATTTCTTGAATTTTCAGGACTGTTTTATGGATCTTTTTTTTTTCAGACAGGGTAACTAACCCCAATTTTAAGTATCAATAAATATTCTATCGTAAAAGTAACAGATTTTGGTGAATTTTAAATTGAATTTTGCAGTATCTTCCTCGTAATCACACATTTCATATAATTAACATAGTAGATCTGTTAGAACATATAACACGATTTCAGTTATTTGTCTTTTATAACAAACATTGTGTGCTGCCACTCTTGCCTCATATTTGGCATGTATTCAGTTCAAATTTCAGCAGAGATCTGCTGTCCTGAGTATGAGTTCCCATAGCTCTCAATGCCTTCTTTGTCAGTAGATACAATTGTCATAGTCATACATATTTCAGTTATCCAGCATCAGATTATCTAAGAAACTAGCCTACTTTCTGTGTTCATATGAAATGTCAAAATAGGAATTCCATTACTTGTGAACGGGACGATGAGTCCTAGGATGACCGAAACAACGATTAAGAGTCTGAGATTCAAAGGAACAGGCCTTAATGTTTAATCCTTCAAATTTCATGATGGTAGTAATCTTATCACTATATAAAAACAAACTCCATGGTCTATAGTCTGCAAGCGAACTATACTGACCAAGTGACTGCCACTTGTCGGCGAAGTTAGTGCAAACTTTTGCAGATAGGGGTCATGTGGTCAGCGCAACGGATTCTCACTGCCGTTAATCTCGGTTTTCTAGACTGGAGCCGCTATTTCCTTGAAATAGATCCTCAGTTATCCTCACGAGGCTGAGTGAACCCCATTCCAGACCCACTACTTCTCAGAAAATCTGGTAGCACTGGGAATCGAACTCGGGACCTCAGGATCTGTAGCCAGGAACTCTGACCACTAGACCACAGAGGCGGTCGTGTTTATCACTGTAACTAATGATGATAATGATGAGGGCAGAGTTTAGTAGCCTGTACCTATAAAAACTTACTGTTCTAGAAATATGACAAACAGCAAGAAACATTTTGTAAGTTTTGAGGTTTTCACGGCGATGACTATGAAGAAAGTTGTCTTCTGGGATCTGGCGCCGTGTATTCTTCGTTTTAACCGACGTTTCGGAGGAACATATCGCCTCCATCTTCAGGGTAGTTGAGTTGCATGCGAATAGAGATAGCTGTAGCAGCTATTCGCACGCAACTCAACTACCCTGAAGATGGAGGCGATGTGTTCCTCCGAAACGTCGGTTAAAACGAAGAATACACGGCGCCAGATCCCAGAAGACAACTTTCTTCATAGTCATCGCCGTGAAAACCTCAAAACTTACAAAATGTTTCTNTTATCACAGACTACACTAGGACAGTTTGTCGATATTTGTTTTAAACTAATTTTTGCTGTTATTCTATATTACAGAAGTCTTACCGGTTTAATAAAAGCTGAGGATATAAAGGTCACATAATCAGAGATGAAAATGATACATTTATAGTGTAATGAATTCACATTCCCCACAGTTGTCTTCCTCCTGTTACAGAAACAATTAAAGGAAAGATGATGGACATGTTGGAGAAATTTATATATCCAACAGATGAAACAGCTGAGAAGATAAAATCAGCCATGACAAGTTCACCTGGTCATTATGAAGCTGTTCGTGTGAACCTTCTGATGGATTCAAATGTTGACATTCAGTCAGCACAAGCACAGACAGCATCAGTCATGATAAAAGGTTCTTTGCAATCTGTCTTCAGTTTTATGTGTGTAAACATGGAGAGTAAGATAAAAATTGTTTGTAAGAAGATGTTACAGAAATAGCTTTGTGTAACATACTGAATATTCTATAAAGCAGGACTGTCCAACTTAATGAAGGTCTGCATCGTGGCTTTGGCATCCATCCATGGGCTGCAGTGTTTTATCTGAAAAAAATTAAATTCCTGCTTAAAATTCAAGTAACATGTTAATGGATTTGGGAAACTGGTTCACATCTTGGCCAGGGCACTGGTCATAGTAACTGAGATTCCTTTTTCTCCTTTTATTTCTTCCCTCCTAACTTTGATTATGTTGATGTCACTATAGTTCTTTGACCCCACAAGCAATAATATTGACATTTTCTCACAACTATGACAGTTTTTAATCCTTTTAAAACTGTAATAAAAATCTTACTTTCATGCTTTTTTTTTTATTTATGAAATAACAGGCATATGACACAGCATTAAACACTCTGTTTACATGAATATCTCCTATTCATTTTGTAATGGCATCTAAATTTATCTAAGATGTTAGAAGCATTCAGACTTATGAATTTCAAAGCATGAATTCACACAGTATCCTGTGACAACAGAAACTTTAAAATGTATTGCGTAACAGTACTCTGCTCTGACACACTATGATTCATTATGCTACGAGGGTCGTACTGAAAGTCATGAGCAACGATATTTTGTAAAGTAACATGCTTTATTATTGACAAACCAAATACACCACCTCAATCTACAGACCTTTCTTTATTTTTCCACATAATTTCCACTTCTTTGTACACATTTCTCCCAGTGTTCTGGGAGTTTGAAAATTCCCCTTCTGTAAAATTCCGTTCCAGCCATCCGAAGACACTGTCGCACTGCTTTCTGAATTGCCTCCCTTGTCTCAAAACGTTGTCCATGCAGCTGATCCTTCACAAATCCAGAAAGATGGTAGTCGGAGGGTGCCAGATCAGGGCTATAGGAGGGGTGTGGAAGAACTTCCCACCCCATTTTTGCAATTGCTTCCAATGTGAGGAGAGTGGCGTGGGGGCGAGTGTTGTCACGCAGGATGATTATGCTTCGTCCTGGATGTTTGTCACGCAATTCATGACGGAGCTTGTGTAGCATCTGGACATAATTACCAGCATTGATGGTTTGCCCAGGTTCCAGGAATTCAGCCAGAATAAACCCCTCTGCATCCCAGAAGACTGTGCCCATCACCTTCGCAGCTGATGGCTCTGTCTTTGCCTACTTTTTTGATGGAGAATGCAAATGGTGCCATTCCATACTCTCCTGTTTCGTTTCAGGCTCAAAATGGTGAAACCAGCTTTTGTCACCTGTCACAAAACAGAGCAAAAAATCATCGCCTTCCTGTCAATATCTCTGCAGCAGTTCTGAGATGATGGCTTTTTGCCGACCTTTGTGGTCTTCGGTCAAGAACTGCGGGGCCCAACGAGCACAAACTTTCCTATAGCCCAAGCTTTCAATCATCTCTTGTACTGCATTGTGTCCACAGTCACACGCCTGTCATCTTGAATGATCTCATCCACTCTTTCCTTGTTGTGTTCAGTTGAGGCTGTTCGAGTACAACTGCTCCGAGGCTCATCTTCGATGCTGGTGTTCCCATCTTTAAAATATTTCACCCATCTTTGAACACTGCTAGCACCCATGCACACACTTCCATAAGCACGCTGAAGTCTGGTGAATTTCTGCAGCAGGGATTTCCTCTTTCACAAGAAATTCGATGACAGCATGCTGGCGAAACGACATATCATTGTTGGCCAATTTGTTAGGAGTGATACTGGTCACGTGATGCAAGCTATTGATGTCACAAGACACTCAAGGTTAACACAGCACTTGGTTCCACCTACAACTGTACTCTCTTTCATCTGCTGTTCCCAGGTTGCATGCAAAAAAAAGTTGCTCATGACTTTCAGTATGACCTACGTAGTATGATCTTTAGGATGAAGGCCATGAACACTTCTTGCTTTTCAGCACTTTCCAGTTTGTATTCATCTCATTTTATTTTGATGCTACATTAGTACTACAGTTAATAAAGTGATGTTAAATAAAGTATACACAATTTGAAAATTAATTTCCTACATTTTAAATATCAAGAAACAAGTATATTTCTGATCATTAGGTAAAACCTTACTTGCAAATGGATCCCTTTTAACCCTTCCAGCTCATGTGCCGGGCCATGCAGGGGGAGGCTGGGAATCTGATGAAGATATTCCGAAGGAGTTGGTACCAGAGTTACAGAAATCTTCATCTACTAACAGTGGAAGCATTGTGTCAGTGGATTCACTTGAAAAGTAAGTTTTGCTTCCTAAGTGTGCATGGAATGGCATTACCAGTAAATACACATCAAGTAGGATTTGAAGTTCTTGCAGCAGTTGTTATGAAGAGTTCTGTCTTCTGGGATATAACCCCATGTAGTCCATTGGAAGACTGCTAATGTTTGGGAGGAACATTGCATAGATATTTTTGTGATCATTTCAGAATTGAGCTGTTCTCATAGTTACCTGTTCCTTCCACAACACGGTTGAAATGCTAAGTGCCAAAGGTATTAGGTATCATACATTTGAATGATATCAGATATCTTGATTCATCAAAATATTTTGTTTTTAAAACAGCTTTTATGATCACTTTCACTACATGAAGAACAATTATTTTTGACAAAATGACAAATTAAGATGATTTTTCAGTGGGAGTCACATGATCTGCAACAGGGCTGTCTTGATTTCACATCACCAAGAGGTCACTCTGTACATGTGAGCAACATGTCAAAAAAATATGTTTTTCCAAGTCAGATATCGACCCTGCAATGATGAGATCTGTGAAGAACAAGCATGTGTGTATTTAAATTGAATGTTGGCAGGTTCATGATGCTTAAGAACGCCCATTGGCTTGTCATAATATTGACACGTGATCATGAAGTGATGCTAATTCCATACTTTTATAAGTTATTTATTATGTGTCATGTAGAAATTAACTTAAAAATTACATAAATACTTATTAAGCAATTTTTATGAAGTTTTTTTTCCCAACAACATGTGCTACCTCTTTTAAAGAGGAGAGTGTTAATGCATATTACGACGAATGGAAGGATATTCACATCCAGCCTGCATGTCACCAGTTGGACAGCCCTGATGTGTCATAAACTCAGGCAACTAGAAATTATATCATATTTGTGATAGCACCAATTTAAGCCCAATTTATTACTGTCCTTGTGAAGTGTGGAAAGTTTAATGAAAAAACGTTTTATTGAATACAGTGTTGTTGCACTTATGCAAATCCCAAATCCAAAAAATTCCCCTTAATTTACATTTATTCCTATGAGAAAACTTGTCTTGAATTATAAAATGTCTTCAGGAATGCATCTTTGAATAAAATGCAATTGCATTGTAATATAACTTTATGTTGCTGTTATTACAAGTGGGCTGTAGTGTATGGTTGCAAAACTCTGCAGGATAGACTCCCCAGCAGTAGAAGTTGTGAAGGAAACTGTGAATCAATTCTGCAATGTACAAGAGTGGCCAACATCCCTCTCTCAACTAAATGATGCATGTAAAACGTGAGTAGTTTCATACATTTCATAATATACAGTTTTTAAACCACAGCATACAGAAGTAAAACATCAGTAGCCTCCCAGGTTGATCCTGTATAGTCCTGATACTGGCAGCATCATTAAATAACCATCTAAAAGAAAAGGATCCTCTCACTTCGCCAGTTTTATGCTTTCTTGTTATGTTGATATGGTCAAATACAGTGAAACTAAAATAGAACAAACAAAATCATTGGAACCATCAATCTCTGAACATTATACATATGGAAAACCATCACATAAAATGAGGACTCGATAGCTGCCACTATTTCCCCACAACTTTCTGCAGCAAGTGCATCTGCAGTTTTGCTTCCAAAGTTATTTATGGCTAGCAGCCTGCAAAGGTCCTGTTAACCCACTCCCTCTGTCCTACCCTTGTCTAATAGAAAGTTCACATTTCAGTATATGTGAGCAAGCTAACCTTCACCAAATTTTAACCATTGAAAAATATTTACATGATGGCCACCACAATGTGCAGTACCTTCCCCTCCATTTCACACATATTTCCCCATCCTCTGCGCGTCCATTGACCTAAGTCGGATGTGACAAAAAACAGCCATGCAGGCGCATGTTAAACTACGGTCACATTAAGGATTTACTATACTCTGATTGATGGAAACTGCAGACTTTTGAATGCCCCTAATTATGGCAACAAAATGGAAAAACTTAAGACCTTAACACAAAACTTGAAATTATATGTTTGTGTGAAGTAGAAAGTTCGTCAAAAAGTGAGATAGGAAGATGAATTAACTTCTTTGACACTGTTTACAACACTGAAGAACAAAAATGTTGTACAAACTAAATCTGAACAAATGTAACATTGTTAACATTGTTCCTTCTTTTTCATATATATATTGATGAAACTTGTTTAGTGATCTCAGTTTGTGGTTGTGTGACAAATATAATAAAATGAGATATGTTTTACCAGTGTTAACATGATAGCCATGGGAAACCTGTTCAGGTGTCTTACAAAGGCGGCTATTTTCATGACAAGTGTGGTAACATAAATGAGTTGTTTGACAGGAAAACAAACAATTGTGGATTCCTATACAGCTTACACCATTACTATAATAACAGCTGATTTACAACCATCATTTATGAACGTATGTCAAAAAGTTGCATGTATTCCAGTCGTGGCATTTAGAACCTGTGACACTGTATTTATGTTAGTACTGGTATGATTTCAACTGTGTTATGTGTGTTACTCAAGTTTGGTACAAGTTCATGCATTTATTCTGACATGCATGCATGTACAGCAAATTATGTAACTTGCACTGGACATTAGTCTGATTGTACTGATGAAAACAGTTATGGTAACATAAAATAAAAGTAACTTTTTAAATTAATTACATTAGATGCTGATTCCAAATTAGGGACAGAAATTTTCCATCAAGCCACAGTTGTGTGCGCTGAACTTGAAACAGCACTGACTTCATTTTTATTATTTGTCCTTGCTGTTATCATTCTTATCAACCATAATGTAAGAAAACTGTTTTATTAGTGAATAACCATTTATGCTCTATTAAATAATGCCATTATTTCAAACTGCATAAGTTGTATGTCATGCATAAAGAAAGTTAGATAACTGAAAAACTGTGCTGCCATATTTATAATCAAGGTACCTGATTAGTAAAGCATAGTTTATTTTGTACTTGTTACCGAAAGAAGTGAAAATTTGCTATGCTATGTTATAATAAGAAATTGAAGTTCTAAGCAAAGTATAGATGTTAAAGTTGTGGTATTTCTTTTTGTAGATGTGCAACTCTGAATTGTGGTGATGTTCTACAAGCCATTGGCAATATACTGCTCCAGTCTTCAGGGACAGTCTCTGACATATCACTGATGCGAGCGTTGTTAATGTTAGAATGGTTTTTACGAACTGATCTTATTACTCCAGCTATCTTTTCAAAGATTATCTCAGCGCCACTTAACTGTGTGTTAAAATCACAATCCAGTGGACAGGATGTGAAGGTGAAGGCTCAGAAAATCAGACTGATATTAGACAAACTGCAGCCATGACATAGTTGACATTGAGGTAGAAAGGTTCAGTTGTGTTGTCTCAAATGGTAGGAAACAAAGTTATTAACTTGCAGTGGTTATTTACAGTGAAATCTCTATTTGATATTCCTCAATTTAAGGTTTTCCCCCATTTAACATTCAGTTTCAGGGATCCCAGGTAAATAACCTCAGTATTAAATTAACTTGTACTCTTCTCCAAGTATAATTAGAATGATCAAGTCAAGGAGGATGAGGTAGGCAGGGCATGTACCATGAATGGGGGAGAAGAGGAATGCATACAGGTAGTAGTGGGAAAGCCAGAAGGAAAGAGACCACTGGGAAGACCAAGGCATAGGTGGGTGAACAATATTAAAATGTATCTTAGAAAGATAGGATGGGATGGCATGGATTGCACTGATCTGGCTCAGGATAAGGACCAATGGAGGGCTCTTATGAAGACAGTAATGAACCTTCGGGTTCCATAAAATGCTGGGATATTCTCGAGGAGCTGCACAATTGGCGGCTCCTCAAGAAGGGTTCAGCTCCATAAATAAGTAAGTAAATTAAATTCTCTCCTGTTAAGATTTTCCTCAGTTTCATGTTCATATCAATTAGTTCTGAAAGAAACCTTATATAGGGATATCATTGTATTTAAGATCTTCTATCACATGCTTGAAGATGTCTGAGTGATAATTTGATGCTGAATATGGTTGTAACTTTCATACTATGTGGATCTACTCTAATTAGTTGGCTGCATTAACTTTACATGCAGGTGTGCAAACCTACTGAGTGATTCAAGATTTGTGGTGAGGAAAGGAGCAGGTGGAAGTGGTGGTTATGAGATGTTACTGCTTGTGTCTATACATACAGTATATGCAGTAATTTTTCTTGGAATGCAGTGTAAACAGTACCTTGGAGCAAATATTCTTCAAATGAAAAACTAAAACAAGACCCACTATTCACACTGAAAGTCATAATTTTTATAGAAAAAAAATTCAAGTGGAAATGTGAAGTACCTAACTGAAAGTACAATAAAATATGCTGCAGCAGCTACTGGAAGATCTGAATCCACTATCTGCAAAATAAGAAAAGCCAATATGCCAAGCTGTAGTGGAGTAAAACTGAGTCACTTGGCAAGAGATGTGAGCTCACTTATAGAAAGAATTGAACTTTATGGCTGATTTGTGTGTAATAAAGCAAACAGTTCATAGTTTTACACTAGAAAAGGAGCTCTGACAATGAAAAATGTTTTGGTGACCTTGAAAGCAGAGAATCTTGAGAGGTGAATGAAAATGGTTGGTTTCCAATTAAAAAAAACGAAAGAAAAATAGGTTATTCTTAATGGAAAGGAATTATACTGTAAGACAGAGGGCAAACTTAGAATTATAAAGAAAAACAATGTACTGGGTGTGAAGTAGAAACCTGCTGTGTACTTGGATGCTGACATATACACTTAGTAAGTGTTTGCAAGAAGGTATGATGATCTAATGATGAATGACAGTGCTGGTCATCACCGATAACTGTAGATGCTGGTTCTGAAAACAGGTTCCTGGAACATTCCTGATTTTTAAGTCAAAGATAAAAGGCAGCAACCACCATAACAAAATGAACTTAAAAATTTTTTGAACTAAATTGAGAAACAGCTTTACTGTAACCATCCATTGGAATCTGTTCGATAAAGCCCCATATCACTCTACCCAAACTGTTAAACTTCCAACTTGGCAACGGGAAGAGGTGACATTCAGGAATGGCTTCAGAGGAATATCATAAATTTGCTAGAGGGGATGACAAGAAATGGACTCAACTTGTCTGAACTCGCCATTTTCAGATTAGTACCTGTTGGAACAGTCACATTTATGAACTTTATATAAATTGTCATCATGCTGAGAGGTTGCATTATCTGTTGATGTATGGAGAATAAAATATAAATCTTAAGAAATTGTAATAAATCTTATTTATTTTGTGTAAAGGGACCTTTCTAAGGTACATCTTCCTTGTGCCTGTTCATCATGGGATTCATTCCCTCGTCCTTTATCTTGAAAGCTCATACTGCAATATGCGAACTGTGAATACAACTTCACTTCTTCACAACTTGAATTACGTCTTCATCATGCATGACATGATGTAAACCCACTCGCTGTGGTGAGTATTTGGTACTTGTTCCCTGCAAAAAGAAATAAAATACAAAATTTACTATGGTACAAAGCTTTAATTTTAATATATATGTTGAGAATTGAATATTGTAACATGTTTGGAATCCAGAAGAGTCACTTCTAAGGAAACACTAGAACAGACCATTGCATACTGAATTAACATTCCTGTGCAGCAACTGTCAGTACTGGTGAGCCGGCACAATGCATCACATAAATATATAATTTACCACTTCTGTGTCAAACAGTTGTTAAGATTCAAACTGTTTTAAGGCTAAAGTATTTCATTTATCAAAAATGAGAAAAGAAATTTGTGCAGAACCTTCATCAGAACTGTTGGACCCAATCTGCTTGAAAATAATAATGATAAATTATGTGACTTGAGTCCTCCAGGATGACCCAGAAACAAAACAGCAATTGGTGAGACTGAACATAGCATTAATGTCAAAATCACGCTGATGTGCTTTTCTGATATCATCATTCCTTTTTAGCATACTGGTACCTGCTGTATTATCATAGATTTACAGATATTTTGATCATAAAAATAGCCATGATCTATCTAATTCAGTATAGTCATCAAAGGAACTGAGCATGTGTAGAAAAACTATGACATGACAGTGCCATGTTATCCACTAATGTGATAAAAGTTAGATGTGTACATACAGGATAATTATTAAAATTAAATAACTTTTTGATTTAATGTTCCTTAGAATTTAAGTCAGGAAGCACTCAGCATTCCAAAACCTTCAACAGAAATTAAAAATAAACATAAATTCTGAAATATCTGTTTACCATACTATAATGTAAAACTGTTGTATTTTATCAACATGCATATTTAAAACAACACTTTGAATGTCAATAAAGGTAAATATAATATTTTGAAATTATCCTGAATTGTTGTGATTCAAGAAGAGTACTGTTTCCTGGGATGTGACACCATGTAGTCTGGTAGAAGTTTACCAACATGTCTGAAGATTGTACTGCCTCGATCTTCTGGGTTGAAGAATGAGTCATTTAAAACGCAGCAAGCAGAGTAAATGCAATATGTTCCTGTAAAACACTGGTAAACTTCTACCAGACTATGTGATGTCACATCCCAGAAGCTAATACTATTCATAGTCACATCCATGACAACCTCAAATTTCACACTGTTGATTTGTCTTCGTTCATAACTTACCCATACGAGGGCATATTTAAATGCTGCTGCAAGTGTGCGATGGATGGCGTGACACACGTGTTCCACTGTTACACCACGACGTAAGATGAGACTATCTTCAAAGTCTGGGGGCTGACCTGGTTTCTTTGTATATACTCTAATGAGAGAGAGGTATTCCCACAGCTGCTCCAACAAGTAGTCCAAGTTCAACTTCATGTTGCAGCTACGAACAGACAATAACAGCTGTAGAGGCACTCCTCATTATATGCAAGTTTGAAAAACTTGATTTCATTTTAATACAATCAACTCATTTACAATGATTTCAATTAGCTACACTTGCTTTAACGCAAACTGCTTGCTGACCAATCATGAGAGGTGAGAAATAGGGGAGTAGACTGCTGTGTGGGTTTGTGGCATACAAATGCTAGGGGAGAAGAGAAAATATTGTGACATGTATATCCATTGTTAGGTAACGGCTCGGTAAACACATCTCGGCAAGACACATGCAATAATAGGACATCCATTGCTAGGCAACATAGCAGTAAACATGCCTCCTTAATGTACACGCTGTGTTTTCCATGCGGTCCGTGCCGAGGGGTTATACAGGGACAAAGAAGGTCGCTTAGAGAGTGAGGAGATTACCCCGTGTGGAGGCGGGGTCGAATACCTCCACCGTGACCCTGCAAGTCGTAGGAGGCGACGAAAAGGGAAGTCTCAATTCTGAGACAGTAAAATATGGTCGAGAGTCCCAAGGGACTCGGACCTGAGTAAGACTGCACTGGCAAGGGCCAGCAGCATATACAAAAGATAGACCCGTCCTCTCATCAGAGAAGGCGCCCCACAGAAACAAGACTGTAACTGTCAAACAGTAATAATTAATATCTGGTCATGAGCCCCAAATGGGGCTCAATACCAAGACTTACTGACTGACCGTCAGTCGCAATGTGACTTTGACTTTGGCTTAGAGAGTAGCTGAAGAGTAGTTGAGTCAAGTCTTTGGAACTGGCAGCTGACTTGGGCTGTGACAAGAAGACTTCACATGTGATTTGAAGTGCCAGTGAAACTGTGATAAATCGGTAGCCAGGAGACAATCAGCAAAGACTGAGAATCCTAGTGCATGTCCAGCGGTGAACTGGAAAGTGTGTAGAACAGCAAGAGCACTGTATTGCCTGTAGTCCTGAATTGTGTAAATGTATATGATGCAATAAATCCAATCCAAAACCCTTTGTAAGTACTGCAAACACCCCTACACATGACAATATGATTAATTTATGAGATTTTCCTCTGTAATTTTCTCTGGAACACAACTACTGCATAAATCATGGCATACCTGTAATCCTTGTTAGCATATTGTGAATTTATACCATAAGTAGGTGACTGCCTGGTGCAGTGTCCTCAGTGGGTTTTGTGTAAAGCTGGTGTTGTGTACATGTTAAAATTAATTTCACTCATCAACAGTGAGCATTTGTGGAGACCCTGAAGACAATATGCATCAAAATCCAATCAACAGCTCTTGAAATGAAACATGGAGGAAAATAGATGGAACAGTCTCCTCTATCTGCAGTGCACTTCACACACTTTGTGCAAGGAACACAGAGAAAGTTTAGTGCTTATAAATTCTAACACTGGTTGGAACTTAATTCGTTTCATCTGTTATGCAGTACATCCAGACAGAAAACAACCTATGACTGTGAGAAGTTAAATCTCCAAATCTAAATACCATTTACTCATACAAACAAGGTCAACAGAAAACCCCACTTAATATTGCTTACCTTACTACTACACTATTTGGTTGACGAGCAATTCTGTCCACTTCTTCTATTGATATTTGGTCAATCTTGTTGTAAACATAAAGGCACGGGAGGTAAACACGATTCGCAGAAATCACATCAATCAATTCATCGGCAGTGCAGTCTTCACGGAACAAAACCTTATGGCAAAAGATATCTATTAAATACCACAAAACATACACATGAATTTACTGAAATAAATACATATATACATACATCAGGCATACACTTGCTCTGTTGGAAAATATAAAGATAGATCCTGTTGGTCTAGGTAACACTGGAAAACAATTACACATGGTTGCAACAAACTGTTCATGAATTTCTGTCCATGTGAGCATATTTTACTGCATACTAAATTTACAGTAGTTCCCTTCTGTTGACATACACAGCTCTGCTTGTGGCAATACCACTGCTAGATGCACTCCTGGAGGTCTTCAGCAACCTCGTTAATTTCTGGTGTCATAGCCTCTTTCACCTCTTCTGATGACTTGAACCTGCATCCCTCCAAGAGGGCTTTCTTTCTTAGGAACACATGGTAGGACCGGATCAGACAGTACAGAGGTTACGAACACGCAGTGATGTCACTGTCAGATACTCCTATATCAGCTGATGCATTGTCATGATGGAGCAGCCAGTTTCTAGATTGCCACTAGTTACAGTGTTTACACTAATCACCTTCTCACAGACTGTGAAGAATGTCTCTGTACACAGTCTTACTGACAGTGTGACTTTCTGTAACTAACTTGTGGCAGAAAATGCTCTGGCTATCAAAGACCATTTTCAATATCACTTTCCCTTATAAGCAGCTCATGTCCTGAGTTATGAGGGAGAGTTCCAGTACTGGACTGGACACTTGGTTTCTGAATCAAAAGGCAAATTTTTAAGAACATCTTACAAACTTGATAAATGAAATGTAATGCCACTCATTCATTTTAGTTATATACTCTTGAGATACCGATAGAATGATTAAATAAAAGTAATAAAGGTAAAGTTGTCCCTGTGCTTAACTAATTAAGCACTATGCCATGAAGGTGTATGGGGCAGTGGAGGTTTACATCGACATTTTCTTGATCTTGGCATTGGTTGGTGGTGAGTGGTCCCAGTTGCTTTACCCCCAGGGAAAGTGCATCTGGTACCCATGACATCATGGTAAAAATAACAAACCAAATAGGTTCTGGTCCTTTTCATATTCTCTGTACACTCACCAAGTACACATGACAAAATGAATCTTCATATCCAATCCTTCCTCATGTAGCTGCACATTCTCAGATATTAAGAATGACACAGTTACTATGTTGTTCAGTGACTGTTGCAAATATTCATGCACTTTTTTATTCCACACATAAAAGGAACACACAATAAAAGTTTTAATGTTCTAATACAGGGCATGAATAGAAGTGAGTTGTCCCTGTGTTGCACTACCATACCCCAACAGTTCACGGAATGAATGAATGTATAAGGGGTGGGCCTTCTTGGCCCTTGCACTGTGACCACAGTGATCTATTGTGCCTCCCCTTCTGATTATCCCCTCAACAATCCTGCACTTCGAATGAAGCGTAGGATTTTGTACATGGGGACGTTGAAATAGTCACTTGGTTCCATAAAATACTGACCCAAGCGATGCAATCTTAAATAAGCTAAGGCCTCACATTCGCACAGGATATGTGTGGCTGTTTCAGTTTCTTCTTGACACCGCTCACAAGTTGGACTATTACCTAGTCCCAGTTTAGGCCACACCACAGTTCATGCAGTTAGTCACTGGCTTCCCACTGCGGTGGCCCGGGTTTGATCCTGGGTCTGGTCAAGTGGGATTTGTGGTGGACAAAGTGGCACTGGGACAGGTTTTCTCCGAGTACTTCGGCTTCCCTTGCCAATCTTCATTCCACCAATTGCTCCACAATCACCCTCACCTATCATCTGGGGCTGGTACAATAGGCCAGATGTGGCCACAGTACAAAGGACTTCATCCCACCCCATTTGTAATAAAAAATTAATAATAACAGTCCCAGTTTGAAGAGGTGTCCTTTGAGGTGACAGTGTCCTGTAGGTAGTCCTACCACCCACCGTAGCTGGTTCCTGTTTAACTTCAACAGTTCCTTCGCACTTTTAGTAGAGGGTCCTTGTATGAGTCCCTTTGCTTGCCTGAGTCCAGTTACGGATCCCCAGTATTTCTTGTGATTCATATTTGTCCAGTCCCTGATTGCCTTTCTGGCACCTCCTATAGAGATGCCACAGGCTGGTCCAGGTCCTATGAACGGATGTTCAGTTCCAGTCTTGGCCAACTGATCTTCTATTTCGTTTCCAGCAATACCCTCATGCCACGGCACCCATATCAGTTGTACCCTGCCAGTTCCATGAGAGTTTGGTGACAATCCCAGACCAATTTTGAGTTGACCTGGTGTTTGTCAAGTGCTTTAAGTGCAGCTTGGCTGTCAGATAGAATGTAGATGTTCCTATTTCTGTAGTTCCTATCTAGATTCTCCATAATACATGCCTTAATGTCATATACTTCTGCCTGGAATACTGTCATGTACTGCCCAAGGCTGAAACTAAGTTTCTGCCTCATGCTATAGCAGAACACACCAGCTCCAGTGCCCTTATTTATCTTGGAACCATCTGTATACCAGATTGGTCCCCCTTCTCTATCGGGCCGAAACCCGTGTTCCCACTCGCTCCTGTCAGGAAATCTGACTGTGAAGGGTTTTTCATATACATGTCTCAGTATCATTTTGTCAGACCCCATTTGTAATATGGGTTCTTTTTTCATGTCCTGAGTTATGTATGCATGTCCAAAATTACTGGATTTGGGTTTCCACTGATCACTGCACTGGAGATGGTAGGTTCCTGACCTGGCCTCTGCCTCCAACTGTTGATGCAGTGGGGGGAGTCCAAGGAGTGTCTCCAGTGCAGCTGTTGGAGATGTTCGAATTGCTCTTGTGATACCCAAGCAAGCCAACCTTTGCAATTTTCTAAGTTCTGCCTTGCTTGTCTTGAGTTTAACGCTGGGCCACCATACTGTGGTGCCATATGTAATTATGGATCTTACAACCGCAGTGTATATCCAATGCACAATGTGTGGCTGCAGTCCCCAAGTTTTACCACACATGCTTCTGCATGTCCAAAAAGCCTCATGGGCTTTACTGAAGACCTTGTCCAGCTGCTTTTTCCATGTCGGTCCCTTGTCTAATATTAGGCCAAGGTACCTGACATTGCTGGAGAGCTGGATCATCTTATTGAAGAGCATCAGTCTGAAGGTCTGAAGGTCTAGAGGTCAATCTCACCCTTTCCCCTAACATCCATTATTCAGTGGGGGCTGTGTGAGCCATGGAACCACTCTAATAGGGTGTGAAAGGCAAATCCTAACAACTATACCAGAAATCAATGTTTGGTCATCCATATATATCACTTCAGTGAAGAGGCTTGAAGTATGAGTAAACATTAATAACTGCATATAGCACTGTCTCAAACAGTTCACAGCTCTTTAGCTGGTCAAGAAATCTGCTGCCTCCATGAAACTAAAAAGTTCATTGTCATGTTTACGGAAACCCACCACTGGATCCTATGTTAAGCCTGCTGAGTACCTTCATCCCATATTTCTGGAACATCAATTTTTTAACTCAAGATTACTGTCATCTGGGATGCAACACCGTGTAGATGGTATTTTTTTATTTTGGTGTGATGTGATCTATGAAAAAATACTGCTCACAGTTCTTAAAATATGTTCTATAAGCATGCCTGTGGCTTGGAAAATTATAGTTGTCATGGAAATTCCTATTTCTTTGTGTGTACATTTGTTATTCAATACCAGATTAGTAACAAGTCCACTGATTTTCTTAAAAACTTGTATATAAAATAAACAGTATAAAACTCACTTCAGCATTGAAGATCTTGTATTCATGAAGAATCATTTGCACCAGCTTTTCATCCACTTGACTCAGAGGACATGTTGAATTGAAAGACAGACCACCACCTTTCTTCACCTAATTACAAACATTAATCATATTAATTTGACTCAAATTCAGAAATAGTATGATGTGAAATATTTCTGATGAGACTATGTAGAACAAAGCTCCTAAAATGGAAAATCTTCCTAGGATGAAAATGCAACCCACTCCTACTTCTCAGTGTGTGAAATTTCATTTTGCAGATTATCTGTGCATATATATTTTTATTCTAGTTTTTTATTACAAGGTTTATGGCATCATAACCTTGTGTACACAGGCATCTGTGGTTCATATATTTTCTTTGTTTCTTATCAGCCTGTTTCATGGCGATCTTCATATTCTACACCAATTTGTATGAGGATACAGTGAATTAGGAAGGGAAGATTAAGATTAAAAATTGTATACAGTTTGTAAAAATCAACACTCCAACCAGTACTCATAACATTTGAAAATGCTGCACTAAGCCCCCTTCAAAAAAATAATGTAGGTATGGCAATATTTATTTTCTTTTGAAGTGGTTATCATGAAGACATGAAAATACTGAATAATAATTTAATACTCCTGAAGGCTTTAGCATCATCTTAACCCTTTGCAGTCCTATTTAAATACTGCTGTGGTTCTCTGCTTGTTTTATTTGAATTCCACTGATCAATTTAAATGCGGCTACTATTATGAACTGGTTTGTTTTGCTTTATAACTTGCAACAAATTGAAGGAGCATTGCTAAGTGTGATGAAAATATGGTCTGCAAAGGCCACGGTTCCTATTGCTTGAACACTGACTATGTGCCATATTCTTACGGACTGTACTGCTGTTGCTAGTGACACATGTAGTGAATGGTGCCACTGTGTTTACTTTTGCTCTTTGGAGATCAAAATCAAACCAAATTCTTTGTTCAGAACTTCAGCAACGTCTAAACATCTCATATTACATGCAGATGTATGAAGTATAAGCATTTGATGTCATAATCTTGGAGCTCTGTTTCCTTTTGAGATGATGTTCCTAAGTTAAAATGAGGAATGCCTGATAACAGGATGATTTAACATGCCTGTCATTGGCAGATTGCTCCATGCATAAAGAATAATAATAAAAGAACAGAATTTCCTACTGGGAAGATGGTATATTTTTCTGTAACTTTATCAGATACAGAATATTTCTATTAGCTACATTCCCAGCAGTACTTCTTCACTGTGTATATCAAAACACTTGTTAGGGTGTTGGACACGTGTCATCATAAAAAGATGTTTTCTGTTGGAGCAAACTGCATAATCCTTTATGAGTTTCCCACCATGTGCCTGAATTAGACACAGTTTGCCATCCACAAAGTCTTCTGTGTCTCTTCAACTTGGTCTCGCCCTCTTTTTGGATCATTATTTTTTTCCGAACATTTCCTACCAATATTTCAATCACTTTCTTATGGAACTTCAGGTGAGACAATGTTGGAAGTTTTGCTGACTGGCGGTTCATGTTGTACAAGATTTCTTGCAAACATATCTGTTAGTTTCAGCAGCTATTTCTTCAAACAAAGTTGCAATAAAAATAACATAAAAATTCATGTAAAGAAACATGCATTTCTCCATTTCAAGGTGGTATATAATCAGACGATGCACAAAATAGTTCTCATATAGAAATCATGGTCATTTTTATCCCAGAGCCCAGTTTTCATTTTCGCCATCTTTGTTGTTGTAACCACCACTATGAACATAACCACCACCAATATTTGCACTTGCCTGGCCATCATCAGAATTACTACAACTATCACACATATCAGGCCCACATATTTAAACATCAGGGTCAACATGATCAAATACATCAATGTATGAATCCTGACTGAATTCACTGTAAGAATCGGAGTCATCATGTGACTGTTCACGGATATGCATGCTGTCCAATGCACACCCACTGCAAAATGCCACTGGGATATAACTACAAAAAAAAATATATGCAGACCCTTCAAAAAATGTATAAAATTCATAAAAGTATTACAACAAACCCTCTAGGTTGGGGGTCGGGCATGATGCTAAAAACCTCAAACAAAACAAAACAAAACAAACTCCATGGCCTGTAGACCACAAGTGAACTATATTAAACTAGCGACCGCTGCTTGTCGGTGAAGTTAGTGCCAACTTCTTGCGGATAGAGGGGGTCACACGGTCAGCACATTGGATCCCCACAGCTGTTAATCTCGGTTTTCTAGACTGGAGCTGCTATTTCCTTGAAATAGGTCCTCAATTATCCTCATGAGGTTGAGTGGACCCCATTTCAGACCCACTACTTGTCAGAAAATATTCTAGCACCGGGAATCGAACCCAGGACCTCTGGATCTGTAGCCAGGAATTCTGACCGCTAGACCACAGAGGCAGTCAGCTAACAACCTCATCCTGTAAAAAGAATTTTGTTCAGAAACCTAACAACCAGCCTCGGGTCATCATGCGTGGGTCCATTCCTATGGCAGCACGCATTGGTTGTGGAGACTGGTTGTAGAGGAGACCAAGGCTCACCCAGGGTTGTAGCTCTGAGTGGTAGGTAGGTATGTATTACAACAAAGAAGTTTGTTAACACGACTGCAAAAACAGGCTTAAACGACACATTGATACTGTTTTCCTCCCTCAGATAGCCTCCAGATTGGCTATAACACTCATAAAATATGTGGCGGACTGAGTCCAACACAGGACCAGAACACAGAAATTAAAGTGGTGGACTCAGTCCAATGTAGGGCCACAAAGGGTTAAGTAACACACTGAAGATTTTTCATACTTTCTTAACCTCTTGTAGTCACAATAGAACATTAATTGTGAGCTACTCTTCACAAGCAAACTCAATGGACAATGGACAATGGACAATGGACAACATAATTCTGGGTAAGAATGTTGCACCAGTGAACCAAGATTATGTCAGTATTCTACTAAATCTCCCATTTCACTTGAACTGTAAGACCCACAAATCATTCATTTATTCCTTCAGTCATTCATTCAATCCACTTTCCAAGTAATATATGCGAGCTAAACCATGAAAGAGCTGACCTTAAAGTAAATGTTCGGCTTCCTTTTGTTCAGACGAATGCCTACACTCTCAAGCTCCTTTTCCAATAATCCACGCTGGACATCTTGTTTTGTAGCATCCAGCATCATCAGCACTAGGTCTGCTGTGCGTGCTACTGCAATCACCTATGCAGTGTGTCATCAATAAATGTTCTGTTCATAAAAAGTTAAAGTAATACTACAGCTATTATAAATCTTAAATGAAAATATCTGTATAAATTTTCTAAGATTGTACTTGAATTTAAAAGTGTCAACAACTAAACACTCCATGTTTTGTCTCACATGTTCACACTACAAGATGGTTCAAGCTAAGTAATCATGGCTTTAGGAAATAGAATTCATAAATCAGACTATACATTAGTTTAAGTGAGAGGAGGTTGAAGAAAAATACATAATGAGGAGCTTCATAATTTGTATTCTTCACCATGTATAATTAGATTGATCAGGTCAAGGATGATGAGATGGGCAAGGTATGTAGATCATATGGGGGGGAGAAGAGGTATGCATGTAAGATTTTTATGGGAAAGCCAAAAGGGAAGAGGCCACTAGGAACACCCAGACATGGGTGGGAAGATAATATTAAAATGATATTAGAGAGATAGGATGGGGTGAAATGGACTGGACTGATCTGGCACAGAAAAGGAATTAATGGAGGGCTCTTGTGAACGTGGTAATGAACCTTTGGCTTCTATGAAATGTTGGAAAATCAAACTTGGCAACAAGCACATTCAACTCCCTTTGAAAGTTATCTTCAAATTTGTATGGTCCCACCAGCTGTAGCGCTAACAATTGTAACAAAAGTGGCCAACCCTTCAGACTTGGCCAGTTCCAAGAAGTTCCCATTTCACAGGCTGGGAAGCAAAAGAAATTAAGAGTTCCTTTGTGACGTCCAATCACAATGTCGTCCATCTGCAGGTGCATATCCCTATGGCCCATTTTTCTGTATGTGGAGTTCTTGGCGTTGTAGTGCCAAACGTTCTTCAGAGTCTCCACTTCAGCATTTGCATCATTGGGAGTTATATCCTTTGGCTCAAAGTAAACAAGCTCTGACAGTGTTCCCCCAATGTCTATCCCAAACCGCAGCATTGTAGGCTTGCTGTCTACTCAAAAGCCATTTTTCTTGCCCTTAGCAGCAGGCACTCTCTACTGATCCTTGCTACCACCTGCCATCATTCAGACTCAAAGGCAGTCCTTAGATCTGTGAGAGTCCATTAAGACACCCTGAAAACACAGGCAGCCACACAAACTCAGCCCTATACATCTGAATAGTCACTTGATACATACTGATCTTCAGTGAAATCAATCTATACTTATATGACATGCATCCTGATGTGAAAGTAACTTCACACCATCATTTCACATTAAATAATTATTTCTGGGTATAAACCACAACAACAAAATATTCAGTGTTATTCTTCTGCTACTGCAATTGAGTTATCAACAAATTTGATCCCTTCTAATAGTATAATCCCACTTCTGACATCGACTGTCTTTTGGTGGAGTGACTATAGATGCAGTTTGGATTGGTAATTGGATTTCCTGGACTCTTGGATAATGTGTGTGACTATACTTTACAGCTCACACACATGCACACTTGGTAGCAGCTTCCAACAGTGCGTATTCCCCTTCCTCTGGGTTCCTGAACTGCCCCCAACCTCCACTACCAGCTTCTAACAGCAACAGCTCACAATGACTGAACCGAAGCAGTTCTGCTTATAACATGTTGGCATGGATAACGCAGAAAACACCATTCCTCTGTTGCAGTCCAATTGTTGCTTAGCAATGGCATGACATATTCCATTGTTGTGTGAGCACCTATCGGCATGAACTGCGCAGAAAACTCCATTCCTCTGTTGTTGATGTTTACAGGCCACTGCCTAGTAATGGCCAGCTGTTGTGACTTCACAGTGCTTGCTTTGAGGGAATATGCCACAATGCAAAAGTCAACAACAATGAGAAATGTTGTCATCAAAGTTTGAAAGATACAACAGCTGGTACAAAATCCAAAGAAAATAGAAAGACACTGAATTTAACATGGTTCTCAGAAAACCATTGTCTTTCACTGATATGTTGTATGATCTGCAGCACGACTTGGAGCAATGGGAATGGAACAGCAAAAAATGCTGTTCATCTTCAATATGTGACACCAGTCACCACAAATCACACTGCGTGGAAATGATTTCCAACAGAGAGAATGTGGACATCAACTGTTGTTTCAACGACATTTTCTCTAAATTCAGTTACAATTTTGATAAGGCCAAAAATTTTTTACACTACATGCAGGTTCACTACGGCCCTGGGGTCGACTCAGCCTCTAACAGAAATGAGTACCAGTATTCTTGAAATATTCTTGGGGGTAAAGGGCGGCCGGCACATAGGGCTGACAACCTTGCCGCCATCTATAAGCCGATTGTCTAGAAAATGTGGGAACCTCAACATCTCACAACACTATTGGCCTTCACGGGCTGTTACAGGGATAGCTTTACTTTACTTTTTAAATGCGGGTTATTTACTAAATTAAAATGTACTAAACACAGCGACATAACACACTTTTTTATATTGGGCTTCAGCTGGAACCACAAGAAATGTTCACTAAATATAGGATTTCATTGTGTATATGTTTATACAACTTTTGGCTGGTTCATTTTTTATCAAAATGTTGGTGTTAAATGCATGAACGTATTTCTGCATGAAAAGGCCATGGGCTACTTACCTGTCTCCCTCTACCTTTGCCCTGAGAAGCCCCTTCAATAATACCCGGCAAATCCAGCAGCTGAATGTTGGCTCCCTTATATTCAATGACTCCTGGGATGCATGTGAGTGTTGTGAATTCATATGATGCTGCTTCACTTTCAGTTGCTGTCAAAGTACTGAGAAGAGTGGACTATAAGCAAAAGAGAGAATTTACAGCAGTTATATTAGTACAACTGGGAGCATATATACACATCCAGTGCCGGGCCATAGCTCAAGCAGTTAGTCACTGGCTTCCCACCGCGGTGGCCCGGGTTCGATCCCGGGTCTGATCAATTGGGATTTGTGGTGGACAAAGTGGCACTGGGGCAGGTTTTCTCCGAGTACTTCGGTTTCCCCTGCCAATCTTCATTCCACCTGCTCCACAATCACCCTCACCTATCACCTGGGGCTGGTACAATAGGCCAGAAGTGGCCACAGTACAAGGGACTTAGTCCCACCCCACTAGCAATAAAAAAAATACACATACAGGACCTTACACTATCTGTATTTATGTGAAAAGATGACTGTTTAACAGGATGTAAAGTATAAAACAGCAAGAACAAACAGAAAATGTGAAACATAATTCAGCACACTTGATATGAATAACTATCACTGTGTGTGATTTTTAAAAGTATTATTTTTTCAAACAAATGAAATGCCACCAATGCCATGAGAACCACAGATGAGCGGATTTTACAATACAGCACCTACAAACTTAAGCCTCTCTGGCACATACCAATATGACATCATCTACTGCCATATATCTTGCCAAATAACTTCACTATTTTATTTCCAGCTACTAGATTCAACACAAATATAAGACCTAAAGATAAATTATATTAAACTAAACTGACTTGTCATGTGGACACAGTTTTATTGAAAAAATACAAAAATATGTCTAAACATGAGAAAAAACTGTAATAATATAATATTTCTGAGCGTTTCCTTTTTGATGAAACTACTGGACCTCTCTAACGGACATCTCAGGTTAGGTTCCCTTTTACATGAAGACAGAAACAATACAAGTTTCTGAAATGCAACATTCTAAGAATATAATACTACAATCATAAATACATATATGGCCCAAGATATTAAAACTGACTTCAATAATATAAATGCATATCTGTTGGTAAACAGTGTAAACACATCAAAACATCCAACATCATTTGTAACTTTCTGTAGTTGACTGTATTTTATTCCTATTTGTCTCCAATCAGCTCCACTGCAAAGTCAGATTCAATAAGTGAGCTCAGGTACTTCAGGCACTTGTTATACATGTATGTACATGTGCGCGGGCCTGCCTGCATATTGTGACTATACAAATACACATCCACTATATTTAGCTACAAAGGTGTTTATTCTTATTCAAATACAAATACTGTATTACCTATTGCAGTAAGCTACAAAGTTTATGCTTGCTTAACAGCTGGGTGAGGTAGCACATGAGGTCAAGCCTGGCTGAATCTAATCATGGTTTTGGGATCTATGTGTTCAATGGCTTCACCGTTACACTTCAATACTCAGTGCACTCTCTTATATTCCCCTCCAGTCACCCACCTGTTCTGTTCACACAGATGTCGGTAATGATAAACTTCACTTATGACAAGTATTTAAGGCTGGTTGACATATGCAAGGGGTACTGGAGGGGAATACAACAGCAGGTGGGATGGGGAAAGTGCCAAATTCCATCACCCCTATGACATTCTTCCATGGCCTCAGTAGTTGCTAACCTTACAACCTATCAAAAGAGGTCTTCTATGGGGAGATAAAGCTAGACAACAAGCTGCCTCCTGTCCACTAACAAAAATAATTACCTTCCTATACAGTCAACCATAGAGAATAAAGAATTGCATGGCCAAACAGAACAGGTAATTTTTAACGTTTTTAAGTTTATAGAAAATGTAGCCAATGAGGGGACATATACAGTGGTTACTGAGCAGGCACATGAAGAATTGCTGAAGTTTCTCTTTGTTCTGTTGAGAAAAGTAAACAAGAAATGAAAAACACTGATGCTGGAGAAGGTAGCGCCTCCTTTCACACTCTGAATGAGAAATGTCAACAGTGCATAAAGCCAGTTCACATCATCAGTGATTTAACTGCAACAGTAATTAGGAGAAAACTGTATGACTCTTATAAGGTGCAGAAGCGAATATCAACTGCATTGGGTTTATGACTGAAATATGGGGAGAAAATAAATTAAAATTGACCTTGAAATTTTTTTTTTGTATTATACTGTCTTCATATGTTTCCTCTTTCCTCTGTTTACTCTTTTTTCAATACAAAATAAAATGTTAAAACCACAGTTATAAGCCTTCATAAAATTTCAAATGCCAAAAATTAAAAAATGATCAGTTAATGAAATTTTCAGTCATCATCATCCATATCTGAACCCAAGAGGTAAATTTTAGTATAAGGTGAAAAAATGGCCAGCTACCAAGTCCAAGTCACCTTGCGACTGACAGTCAGTCAGTCAGTAAGTCTTGGTGTCGATATTACTGTTTGGCATTTACGGTCTTATTTTTGTGGGGCGCCCTCTCTGACGAGAGGACGGGTCTGCCTTTTGTATATGCTGCTGGCCCTTGCCAGTGCAGTCTTTCTTGTGTCCAAGTCTCTTGGGACTCGTGACCATATTTTACTGTCTCAGATTTGAGACTTCCCTTTTCGTCGCCTCCTACGACTCGCAGGGTCATGGTGTCATTGTGTAAACATGTGTAAAAGACTGAGAAGAAATACTGGTAAAGAGATGACACTATGAAGCAACTGACCAAATAATAATTAATTGCATTGGACCTAATAGTAATGGTGAGTTTAATAATGATGAAGTAAATTTTGAAGAAGGCTGTCAAAAAGGTTTTTCCAGAGTGGAAGAAAAGCTATAATACAGTTCTTATGTTCAGTTAGTACACAATTATTTTTATTTTGTAACAGTAATATACACCCCATTATCAATGCATACATTTATTTAGTGTGATAAAAAATTAGGAGAAATGTGTTCGCATGCATTACCCATGTTTGTTGGACAAGGATAAAGGGATAAACTTTTCGAAACTGAGAGCACTGAATGCATCCATCCTACTAACATGATCCAGTGGTGGCCTCTTCTGAATGAATTAATGAACCTTCATGTTTCACACAGAAGGTGCAGAATTTCTTGAACAACTGTGTCACTATCAGCTTCTTAAAAACTATGTTCCCTTGACACATGCAGTTAACATTAACATTCAACCTGCCTAATTATTAATGTATCACAAAAATTAAATTTGCTGTTGATGTTTAAGCATGCACATTTGAACTCTTTTATCATGTTTGTTAATAATCAGAAAATGGTAACTTGGCAGATGAAGAAAGCTGATGCTATATTGCCATATTACATAGCAACATAACGTACCTTTCCAACAGACGGAAAACCAATTAAGGCAACACGGGCATCACCTGATTTCAAAACATCAAAACCCTCTCCTTTCTCAGACTTCTTTGGTGGTTCAAGTAGCTGTGATCTATACTTTGCAAGCTTGGCCTTTAGCAATCCAAGATGATATTCAGTAGCTGAAATACAAATGTTTAATAATTAGAAGTGTATTAATTGCACATGCTCTGAAAATAAAATTAGTACTTTCACAACTCTAACCTAAAATGCATCTCACCTTTATTTTTCTGGGTTCTCGCAATTTCTTTTTCTATCTCTGATATTTTCTCCAAAATGCCCATACTGAATTATGTGAGTGTGGTCTATGATCGCTACAGAAATAGTTCTTAAACATCCAAGGCTTGGGAATCAATTACCTACATGCCTCGCAACTCCTTCCCATCTTAAAAATCTTGACCTCCACAATCGAATGCATAAACACACATGTCAAATGTACAGATTATCCAATTTTACCGTCAATCAATGCAATGTAGGTGCACTCTTTCATCGTGTTGCCATCTATAAATGATAATGAATATGGTCGGCGTCAACAGCTTCATTCAGTCGGTAACAATAATAAATTAGGTTTCGTGGGTTTCGCCATGAAAGTCCAATCTCGCCGTACTGTTGTATACCAACGAAGTCAGAATATAAGCCCCAGTACTGCAAAGGACTTTATTTCAGTTCCTAAGTAGAAGTTAGTCTGGTTGAATATATGTATGTATGTTGTTGTTACACTTACTTTTAGGACACTACATTACATTAAGCAGAGCCAATGTCGCTATGACCCCTGGGCGCCGGCAGAAGGAGTGGACAAATTAGAACCCCTTCCCCCCGCATCCAATGTCAGGGCTTTTGGACAAGATAGAAAGAAAATAACCAAATGTCAACAATTTCTTCTTTATTTGGGGGGGTGGTGGTGGTAAAAATAGTCTTATCCGGCTTAACTCTAAGTTTGTAACCTAATCTTCTGACAGCAACCCACTGGAAAAGTAACTGCGACCTCTGTAAAAAGTTCTGGGCGGTTCCCATTCCCCTACCTCGTTAAGTTCGTGTGCCCGTCATATTTTTAAACTGCGTAAGATTAAGAGCCCATCCCCTAATCTTATTGATGCTGCGTACAGCAGGATGAACGGTATGACGAAATTTTGATCTCAAGTGATTGCTGGCAGTGATTAAAGCAGTTTCTCATTGTTAACTAGTACACTCACACATTTGAAACAGTTGAAGACCGGAGTGTTTCGAGCTGCACTACTGCAGAAAAGTTCATGCTTTAAACAACACTCACAAGAACGCTTGATATACTTTGTTTTTTTTTTCTGAAGGACTGAAGTGCTGTTTTGTTGTGTTCACAGCAAAATTGCAAAAATGCACAATTAACTTTGTCATGTCTGTATGTTCATGAAAACCGATACTGGGGAGTCTTACTAAAATCAGGTTACACCTTCCAAATTTGGATAAAATCGTGTAAGAATTAGGACACTTCGCACGTATCTGAGAGCACCTCAAAGGGAACTCGCTAAATAGTTATTGGAGCAAGAAATGTTTCAGACACAAGCTGTAAACCAAAACAGAACTCTCCTTTTATTCCAAGTACACTATTTCCGACAGTCTTACGGTTTTCGAGGTAAAAGAGCAAATTATTTTCTTGTTAATGTAGGGATATTAACAGATCGAAAACGCCAGAATTATTACCCTACGCACACACCTTCTTCTTTCTTTAACAGTGAATATTCTAACAGCCATAATACGTTCATTTAAAATTTTATTGACGGACAGACTGTCCGAATTCAGATTTCAAATATAACAGTTTTATTTCAAATCCAAATAAAAGGTTCGATAAAAATATAATGTACTAAATAATTCATAAACCCTTAGATAATTCTTCGTAGTAGACGTGATATTGTTTCATTTTCTTTCGAACCACGGCATGATTGCACATAGGACTGTATGAGTCCTCTTTGTAGACCTATAACAAGAACCACCGCTTTACAATAAACAAAAAATCTGCTTCTTCATGAGCTCTCAATGAATATCGTTGATCCGTTAGAACATAGTGCATAACCCTAAAATCTCTTTCACAATCAGCATTAATCCCTGCAGGTACATCTGCACTGAGGCTGGTTGGGTTAGTTCACATTGTACAAGATTCATATTAGATATTACTGAAAGCTACGAGTACGTAGTCAAAGTTACTGACGGTATCGTTAACTAAGCCTCCATGTTTTTAAGAAACTCCTGCCTGTGTCGGAACCTGGATTTCTCGGACATTCAGATCGCACCCTGTCACTGTACCTACTGAGACGTTCAGTATTTCCGACTTGCAATAACACTGATTTGCAACAAAGCCTGGTAGTTGCTTGAGGCACTATGCTACAAGCAGAGACGTCGCGGTTTCGAGTCCCGATGAGGTGGATTTTTCTTCAACTGACCTAATCCTTCCAGCCGCACTATGGCCCTGGGGTCGACTTGGCCTCTAACAGAAATGAGTACCCGGAATCTTCTTACTGGGGGTAAAGGGAGGACGGAGCTTAAGGCTGAAAAATTTACCGCCATCTGTGAGTCGAGTGTCTATAAAATGTGGAGCCTCGACGTTTCACAACCATATGGGCCTTCACGACCTGCTATAGGGATAGCTTTACCTTTTAATGCCTGATTTACTAATGTCCAAAAGTGGACTTCTCAATGTATCCTGCAAACTATTTCACAGACTCTGTTGCGCTTCGATATGGGAGGTTTCGACTCAAACTTTTAGGGTAATACAGGCTTCCAGACATAAGGCATAATTTGCATGCCCCATAAATCGAATTTTCCATGTATCCCATAGACCGTTTCGCAGATATTGGTGGTTGGTATTATTCAATATTCGAAATTTATTCGTCAGTTCAGGCTTTTTGCCATACTGATCCATAATAAAGCATAGTGGAGATAAAGCCATACATGGATTTTCCATGAGTCCCATAAAACGTTCGACATCGGAGACTTTCACTAAAAGCTGATGAAGAATTCCAACTTTCACCCGTATTGATCCACAACAAACCGCACTTTGCTTACGACCACAGGTGCTGTTTACCCGTAGCCACATAAATCGTTTCATAGGTGACAGTAGGCTGAAGTGCTGTAACATTCATTTATTTCGAGTAGGAAGGAGGAAGGAATGTTCATGCATCTTCGAATTAGTCTCACTTTCTTGTAACCCATGGGCCTCTGTTGCGAGATGACCTGGCAGGTGTTAGTGCACCATGGGGGTACCCCCACTCCTTCTTCATGTGATACCCATGTTACGATGAAAATCGTCTTAAATGTCGTCATGACACGTTGCGTGACATCCTTGGAGGTAACGTAAAGTGTCCTCCTCGAAGATGCAGGAGTTGCCAAGCCTGACACAGTAACGTAATTTAAATTCTGCAGTTATATTTGACTTTACTCTCGTTGTTATTTTAGGAATTAAGTTTCAGGTCGATATGTCGTGTGAAGAGTACATATTCATATTTTATATGCCTATCACGGACTCTGTGCGGTCTAAGGCATGAATATCTGTATGCGTTTATTCTGTGTTTGTGCTGTCCTGTATGCAGGTAGCGCCCTAGCGACGGGCTGATCCCCTGTCCAAGAAGTCCTACCGACTGTGTAAAAAGATCTAGAAACTGAAAATCGGCCAAGGCCCAACAAAGGGCCGTAGAGCCATAGACAGATAAATAGATAGATAGATAGACAGACAGATAGATAGATAGATAGATAGATAGATAGATAGATAGATAGATAGATAGATAGATAGATATTTATGCCTCAATTTAGACGTTTATACATCCTAATGTAATGTTACCTAGTTTTATAAAACATTCGCAAAGGAAAGTAAGGTCGCGTTGGTGTCTTGCTCGGCTTACTCGACCCTGAAGATAGAGGTAATATGTTCTTCCGAAACGTCGGTTGAGTTTCAACGGACTACACGGCGTTATACCCTACAAGACAGTACACTTCATAATCACCTCTGTGAAAACCTCAAATCATACGTGAAGCAAAATTGTCTCTGTGCTTACGTATAATTCCTTTTTATTCATTTTTAATTACTGATCTGTCTTGTTAGTCCCGTTTGCAGTGTAAGAAGTACAGAATTATACGTAAGTCTTATACGGTATAAGTAAGTGAAGTAAGTAAAGCTATCCCTGTAACAGGCCGTGGAGGCTCATATGGTTGTGAGACGTCGAGGTTCCCACATTTTCTAGACAATCGGCTCATAGATGGCGGTAAGGTTGTCAGCCCTACGCCCCGGCCGCCCTTTACCCCCAAGAATATTCCTGGTACTGATTTCTGTTAGAGGCTGAGTCGACCCCAGGGCCATAATGCGACTGGAAGGATTAGATCAATTGAAAAAATTCCAATGACCTCATCGGGACTTGAACCCGCGACCTTCCGGCTTGTAGCATAGTGCCTCAACCAACTAAGCTACCGCGTTGAACTATTAATTTTAATCTCAATTTTCACAAGCGTGGCTCTTGTTTGTTAATGTTGTTTTACTGTCCTGCATTCTGAGCAAAATTTCTGTGTCACTGACGTTTATGTGCGTGAATTATGTACTATGTGGAGTTGCCATGGTGACATTGTGACAACACTGACCACTGGCACGAGGCTACTGACCGGGACAGCCAGTGGAAACATTAAGAGTATTCGGTAACGAACATTCAAGACGTATACTTGTGGTTGTGTTTCGTTCCTCATCTGACTGCCTTCACCGAGTTTTTCATAAAACAAGGTACTGTGAAACCTTCTTCAACACTAACCCTGGAGTGAACGGGGATCAGCCTTAAGTGGAATAATTATCTAGTTCCGAAAAAATGGATCAAAATTCATGTAATATTACCTCTAATAAACAGGTTCAACGCGTCAGAACAGAAGAGGTTATGAAAATATACGGTGTACACCTATCAGGATCCTTCATCGGAAGGGATTATAAACAAAATAATAAAGACTTATAGTAAAGGTAAAAGTATCCCTGTAACAGGCCGTGAAGGCCCGTAGGGTTGTGAGAAGTCGAGGTTCCCACATTTTCTAGACAATCGGCTCACAGATGGCTGTGAAGTAGTCAGCCCTACGCACCAGCCGCCCTTTAACTCCAGAAAGATTCCTGGTACTCATTTCCGTTAGAGGCTGAGTCGACCCCAGGGCCATAGTGCAGCTGGAAGGATTAGGTAAATTGACTTATAGGAAACAGGCATTAAATTCACATGAAACTCCTTATCGTTAGCTGACACTTCCTCAAATTGGCGAGAATTCAGAATAGTGCACCGAAAAAAATTAAAGATCAGTATTGTTTCATGTTCATATTTATTACACACTGTAAAAAACAAAATATAAATAATTTAGCGTGTGTTTCAAGGACGTACTATAATGGAACACCACATTAAGAGAATAAGGCGCCATTTTAAAGCAGTCTAACCCAGTTTTTTTGTTCATTTTTCTTACTTGCGAATGTGTTCAGGAAGACATGGTTGGTTGTTGGATATACAAGTTCAGAAACGTACTTAACAACATCCCTTTAGTTAATTTGTATGGAGAACTGTAAAAATTTGTAGAAAATGTATCGAACGTGAAACGCGAGTTTTATTTTCCTTTCCAAATTTGTTCAAACATCTCTCCTTCAAATAAACTTTTGGCGAGTTATGCGTACGTCTACACGCGAAATGGTGGATAAACTTGTCTGAGCTGAATTGAAATTAAAACGGCTTGAAATTCCCAAATCAGATTTTATGAAAATCGGTCTAGTGCTGATGGGGGGTGCGGGAGTCGAGTAGCTCAGTTTGTGCAGTACAAGTTTCTCTCTTCTCCACAGCGTCCACACCGGCTCTGGTACTCACCCAGCCTCCTCTACAATGATTATCCGGGGGTATTTCCCCTGGTTTATAGCGGCCTAACCGCCTCTGTGGTCTAGTGGTCAGAGTTCCTGGCTACAGATCCAGAGGTCCCGGGTTCGATTCCCTACGCTACCAGATTTTCTGAGAAGTAATGGATCTGAAACGGGGTCCACTCAGCCCCGTGAGGATAATTGAGGAGCTATTTGAAGGAAATAGCGGCTCCGGTCTAGAAAACCGAGATTAACGGCCGTGGGGATCTGTTGTGCTGACCACGCGACACCCTCTATCCGCTAAAGTTGGCACTAACTTCGCCGACAAGGGGCGGTCCCTCGGTCAGTATAGTTCGCTTGCGGACTACAGGCTACGGAGTTCTTTTTATAGCGGCCAGGGCGTGAAGCCAATGACTAACCTCCATCTTGTGTCGAGATCAAGAACAATGTAGCTATATCTCTAGTGCTCCATATGTCTTCATGACATAGTAATTAACTAATTACGAACAGGGACAACTTTACCTTGCCTAGTGGTACTTAAGTTTTTTTATACTTACGGGGGAAAGGATTCACTGGGCGAACCTAATAGGCGTTCCGCACAGTTAGGGACACACTTTAATATTAATTGTACAGTGTTTGCCTGAACATTTCTTTGTGCAAAAATGTCTTTTGTAGCTTATTGCTCTTCTTTGATGTATCTTACAGCGATAGCCTAATAATAAATCCGCATAATAGATTTTATAAAGTTTATTCCTTGAGAACTGATATGTAGGGGTTCGTGTCCGACTTATAAGACTGGTTCTGGATTGGATGATCGAATTTAATGAAAGCTTAATCACACAACTCGGGACTACAGGCAATACAGTTCTATCGCTGATGTACACACTTCACAGTTCACCGTTAAACACACGCAATAGGGTTCTCAGTCTTCACTAGCCGTATCCTGTCAACGGATGTATCATAGTCTCACTGTCACTTCAAATCACACATGAAGTGTTTCTGTCATAGTCTAACTCCATTTCTTGTCATTTCTTCTGAATCCTCTACAACTGCCATCGCCAGAACTCGACCCAGCTTTTGACAGCAACTAACGGTTCCCTTGGAACTTCTCGTTATATAGCCTAGGGGTCGACCCCTCTGAAAACACAGTCTTTTATTCTCCTGTATTTTTAGGCGTGTTTACTGATCCGTTGCCTAGCAATAGACACCCTACTGTTGCGAGTTGGCTCCCGTGGGAATGTGTTTACGGAGTCGTTGCCTAACGATGGGTCCACACATCACAGCATCAATAAATATTCTTATGTATAAATTTGTAAGGTAACGGCAAGATAAGTGGTATTCAGAAATTTCGTATTTGTTATTCAGCCGCCATGTTTCGTGCTTTTCTCAGACATACTTAAAAGGGTTTACTTTATAATTTTCTTTGTTTTTCACGTCTTCGTAATTGACTCATAAAGTAATCTTCTTCAGTTCTTTTATGTTTAAGCCCAAACTCCTTCTAAACTGCTACTTCAAAATTTCGAACGATTCTGAAGTTCTGAAGATTCTGATAATTGCCTTAAGCTATTCATGTAGTTGTATAAAAGTAAAAGCAGAGCTATCCCCTTGACTAACCACAACGCCATGAAGACAGTTGGAGGAGTGGAAATATACCTCATGCTTTCTCGTCCTCGGCACTGGATGGAAGTTGGTAGTCAGTTTTATGGCTCAGCCACTATACCCCCAGTAAAGAAGCCCTGTTAACCATTGCACAAGGAGTTGGATGGGCCCCAGACTTGTCTGGAAGCTTCGGAGAAGAGAAAAATCTCTTGCCCTTGCAGGAAACATAATCCTGTTTTTTCTGTCTTCCAGCTCGTATCCTAGTGTCTGTATCGACTGAGCTATCGTGGTTCCCAATCCCGCGGTCCATAGCTTGAAAAGGAATCTAATAAAGAGTAAATCACTATTGCTATGCCACGGATTCTTCAAGTAAAGGAAAATACGCATTAAATAATTTTTTATGTCTACACGTCTACAATTTTAATGTGAAACAAATTGGCCGAAAAAAATGCGTTTGCTCTGGAAGAAACGTCGAAGCTACAATTTCACGTGGTGAACCCGTCATCACAAAACGAGGATCCGTCGACGTGGTCATGGCAGAATAACCTTTGCACTTGATATGTATGAAATTACCTTACAGAAAAATCGGGTGGCGTCAGATACATTTCTAAGTTTGGCTCCGATTGCTTGTTTTATGGTAAAGCTGTCCCTGGGCTTAACTATTTAAGCACTACGCCATAAAGGCTATGGGGAAGTGGAGGTATAAATTCACATTTTCTTGGCCTCGGCATTAGTTGATGTGAGTGGCCAGCTTCACGCACCCACCCGCTTTATCCCCGGAGAAAGAGCCCCCGATACACATTGGATAAGAGGTTAGGTGGATCCCAGAGCCGGTCTGGACGACGTGGAGAAAAAACTCTACCCTACAGGCACTCGAACTCCGATCCCTCGGTCGTCCAGCCAGTAGCCAGTCGATATACCGATTGCGCTATCTCGACTCCTAAATTGTCCCTGTGCTTCATTAATTGTGCACCATTCCATGAAGACGTATGGATGAGTGGAGGTATAGCTCCACCATTCTAGACGTCAGCACTAGATGGATGTGTGTGGTCAGCTTCACGCCCCGACCTCCTTACCTTCGGGAAAGAACGCCGGTACCCATTTGATAGAAGGCTGCGTGGGCCCCAGAACCGATCTGGAAACTGTCGGTGTAACCTTGTTATTTCCTGTGTTCACAGAAAGTCTGTAGATCTTCAACAAATTATTTTTACCCACTTTAAATTAATCTACAAAAACAAGTTGGATCTAATTTCATTTTGTGTTTGCTTTACAGAATATCACCGACCATGGAATCAACTTCGTCATTCTTTGTAATAATGCTGATGGCTTGCTCTTCCGCCTTAGATACTGTCCTATGTCCGTTGGACTGTGACTGTTCAGAGGCAAACAGAATCAATTGTAGCAACAAAGAGCTAAGAAGCCTTGATCCTAGCCTCTTCAGCGGGATTAGTATTCGAGATACGACTCACCTCTACTTGGATGGGAACGGTCTCTTCGGACTCAGCAAAGACCTTTTCGTATTCCTTGGAAAGCTAAGAATTCTGCACTTGCATAATAACATTTTGACATCTATTCATACGGATACGTTTAGTGGACAGAACAACCTCGAGGTACTTACCCTGCATAATAACGCCCTATCTTCACTGCATCCTTTGTTGTTCTGCAAACTCTTGAACCTGAAACATTTGACCTTACACCGGAATCGCATTCTGACCTTTAGTAACGAAACCTTCGCCCAGTTAAAGAAACTTGAAGTGCTGGATCTCAGTCTTAATTATTTGAATACCCTTGATAATGGAATATTAAATTCTCAGAGCAAACTAATTGTATTGAACGTGTCCAGTAACTCACTGTCAACCATCTCAAATAATGTGTTCAATAATACGATCAGTCTGAAGAATTTATCTCTAAGTTATAATAATTTAGAAATATTAGAAGCATCAGAGTTCAATAACATGAAGGATCTAGAATTTCTTTTCTTAAACAATAATAATTTGTCTTCATTTGGGAATACAAATTTTCAGCTGCAAAATCTGAAGTTATTAGATTTGTCTTCAAATAATTTGCACAGTTTGGGTAGTGAAGTGTTCACATCTCTACCGAAGCTTGAAACATTGTTGCTCCAAAAAAATGGTCTGGAAACAATTGATACTGGAGTGTTTGAGTCACTAGCGAATCTAATTTCTTTACAAATGAATCAGAATAGACTTCAAAGTTTGCCTGATGATTTATTCATGAGAACACAAAAGCTCGTAACCTTAACCATTAGTAACAATCCTCTTCATAGTCTGCAGAGTAACGTCTTCAACAGATTGACAGAGCTAGAAGAGCTTAGTATTAGTTCCTGTCAACTAACTGAATTGAAGCCTAATATTTTCGAAAATCTAATGAAATTGAAATATTTGGATCTGGATAAGAATGCGTTCACAACACTTGACAATAAAGTTTTTAATTCATTAACTGGGCTTAGGGAATTAATCTTGACGAACAATGAATTAAAATCTTTAAGCAGTGGATTATTTACATCTCAAAAGAATTTAGATAAACTACTTTTAGGCAATAATGCTCTTACAACTATTGACATGGCAACTGTGGAACCATTAAATAATTTGAAGGAACTGGATCTGACAGATAACCCTCTGATATGTGACTGCAATCTTAAAGATGCTCTTATGATAATCGTCAGCCGCCATGTTGAGTACAATGCTACTTGTGATACTCCCGATGTTTCGCGTGGGGATTCTTGGGAATTGATTCTGTCGTTACCATGCGAAACAACAACGGAAACGACAACGCACCCTACTACCACAGCTACTCCTGCCACTACTACCACAGCTACTCCTGCCACTACCACAACTGCCACCACCACCACCGCTACTACTACTACTACTACCACTACTACTACTACTACTACTGCTACTACCACAACCACCAAGGCAGAAGCAATGTCCCAAAATCTAGCAGCAAATTTAAATGGAAAGGAAGATGTGGCTGCTTACTGCAAACCGTGCATAACTCTAATACTTCTGCATCTCATTTTACTAATTATTTGTTATATGTGTGATTGAAAGAAAGGAAAATTAAATTAGTTTTAGGTGTGATGATGACTGCCAGGGCTGCTGCTTCTGCTTAAAACACGTTTGTTAAGGAATATGTGAGTGTACTTTCATCTGATTCCAGCATTCGGTGCTTCAGGTTAGGAATGGAATGGAAAAAAAAGCAATAAAAGAAGGAAAGTGAATTTAAAGCAGTGATGATTTTTACAGTTCTTGACTGTAATGAAAATATACAGATACAAGATTTTTATTGTATGTTATAATATTGAAGAATAGCGTCCTCTACGTTTAATGTGTCTATTTGCTTGAAATATTAAGTGTAAATTAGGAGATAAATATTGAAATAACATGCCAACTTTTCTCTACAAGATTGCAGGCTCTGCTGCCAGGCCAAGACTGGCAATTCCTGATTAATATTTGAAGAGAAGTTGCTAATTTTATCGTATCGTCAAAGCCGTATGCTAACACAAAATCGTAAATTGCGCATCCAGTTATCAGAAATTAAATTTTTGGTGAGCCTCTGAAACAAACAGTACCGAATACTCAGTATATAATTTTTAATGATTAATTATTATGCTGAAAGTCACCCATTATTCTGTTTGTCTAGCAAGATAATGTAAAACAGAATCATTATTGTCTCAGAGGCCTATCAGAAATAATATTCACAAATATTTACATTTGGTGTCTCGGTAAATGTAACTAAGTGGTACAGAAATAAAAGAAAATATGTTACAGGTATCTAAACGGAATTTTCTTTTAAAATTCCAGTCCTAATATCAAAGAAACATTCTGCTGCTTGCACAAGAGAGTGCTGTATCATTCAGAGTTTAAATATAAATCCTTATCAAAATTATAATACAATCAGATTCTAGAGGGTTCTGACGATTGTATAAAACAGGCATGTTCAACGCGTCGATCGAGGGATGATTTTTGGTCGATCTCATAGGTCCATAAGGAAATTATACGTGAAAATCACGTAAATTCACTTGCAATATAATATGATTATATTCAGATTTTGAAGGGAAAGTACGTATTGAAGTAGTCTGTACTTTCAATGTATGTTGCTTTTATAACAAACATCATGCGTCGTGTTATTTTTACCAATATTTTTGCTTAAAGCGAGGTACGGCGATAGGAGGGGGTGATAGATCACTGGCAGTTTTGACACTAAAATGTCGATCACAGCCTCTTTGATGTTGGACATGCCTGGTATATAACAATTGGGATTAGTGGATTTCTGGAATATTTCTATTGCCCAGTACTCTAAAGATTCCGGTGGTTGCAGTTGGCTCTTTCTAACGGGCCTAACAAACGGCCGCGCCATAGCTCAAGTGCTTAGTCCCTGGCTTCCCTCCGCGGCGGCCCGGGTTCGATCCCGTGTCTAGTCAAGTGGGATTTGTGTTGGACAAAGTGGCGCTGGGCCGAATTTTCTCCGAGTACTTCAGTTTCCCCTGCCAATCTTCATTCCACCAAATTCTCCATCATCATAATCACCCGGGGCAGTCTACAATAGGCCAATCAGTGGCAGCCGTGCCGTGTGGACCCAGTTGGACTCCACCTCCACTAAGCGAATTTTAAAAGAATTAATTAAGGGATCCAACAGAGTAGATATCTCCCACCCCTCACTCGAGGTCGGAAACAGATCTAGTTCCCGAAATATTGTGTTATCTTATTTCTTTAGAATACTGGATGGTGGATAAAGTCAAAAAACCCAGTAATTAGGAGTAGAATATATCTGTGTATACTCGTATATAGATTACAGATTTGCGTGTATATAATGAAGACAGTTATTAAATAAAATATACGTTTATTGTATAATTATGTTATAAGGCTGAAGGTATAATGAAAATACTTTGTAGTATAAAAACGGCTTTGAACAACCGTAATTAAATATATTTTTTTTAAAGTACCAATAATTATCTACGTAAACTTCGAAAAAAAAATGCCTGTTCTCTAAGTGATATTTATCTCATTGAGGTAAATTCTGTGTGTTGCATACTGCACAACATGACTCTGGCAGCCATCAGACGCTGAGAATGGTAGAGAAGCAGATGTTACTGGTACAGGCAATAGCTCACATATTTATTATCTCTTATATAATATGTACCACGTTGAAGACTATATTTAAAGAAGGATGAAACATATTAAGTTGGTCTGCTTTTCAGAATATGAACATTGCCAATTTAAGAGTTTTTGAGACGGAATTACAGCAGTTGTTTTGACTTCATTCACTGCCTCATCTCTGGCCCACGGCGACATAAATCGATTTGTAAAACAACAGCAGTGAAGAAGGCTGTTAACTCCGCTTATTTCCAGAGCAGCGCTGACTGATTGAAGTTACGATAAAGTCTCAGTCAGGACACACCACTTCTGAGCTAGGAATCAAACCCAGGGAATTTTGAAATATTGATTCTGGTTCAAGTAAACTCCGCTGTTGTGGCACACCTGTAACTGACCTAAATTGAAACGAACCCGAGATATCCATCTGCTACAGATTCGAACACTACTTTCGGTATGTGTATAGGAAATCTACACAAAAATGTCCTCTTAAAATAATTTTGGCTCAGTTCTAAATTCTCACTTTCGATTGTTTAAATTTTGACAACAGCGATAACTTCAGTTAGGTCGAATTACCTACATCAAGTAGGTTTTCACAGAATTCACTGTACTGCAGGGATGCAATGCGGCTCTTCTACAACAAACCTATATCTTTTGGCGCTAATTTGAAACGCACTTGATTTCTTATAAGAAACTCTAGTTTTCATATAGTTTGGTGGGAACCATTACAAAGAATTTAAAATTCAATACGAGACCAGCAAGGGACTTTACATTACATAATAAAAAACAAACTCCATGATTTTAGTCGCCAAGCGAACTAAACCGACCGAACGACTGGCGCTTGTTGCCTAAGTTCTGTGGTCTAGTGGTCAGAGTTCCTGCCTACAGATCCAGAGGTCCGGGTTCGATTCACGGCGCTACCACATTTTCTGAGAAGTAGTGGGTCTGGAACGGGGTCCACTCAGCCTCGTGAAGATAATTGAGGACCCATTTCAAGGAAATAGCGGCTCCGGTCTAGAAAACCAAAATTAACGGCCATGGGGACTCGTTGCGCTGACCACGTGACACCTCTATGCACTAAAGGTGCCACTCATTTATATAAACATAAGAAACGATCTGGAACTTGAATGAGAATCATTTGATTTCACTTTGATAGAGAGAACGATCATATTGCAAGAATAGCAATCTTAGATTCAGTTTCAGGCAAAGTATCACTATCTACAGAACATTTTTTTAATGTTTGACGGATTCATTAGAGTTCGTAGTTATTCTGGGGTACCTGCAAGTAAGCCCTAAGCCACCCGAAGTTTCAATGTTTTTTAATTGTTTTTCTAAGTAGCCCTTTTGTGATTAGGCATGTTAATTTGTGGATTTGAATTTTGGTAAAACATAAGTTAACATTTTTTAAGAATATGTGTTTAGCTAAGATATTGTTTTTAGATATTTAATATAATGTAATTTAATGTTGATATTATTTGTAATTGAAAATGCTGCGGTGTTTACAATTGTCTTTAAACACAAATTATAACACTTTAAAGATAAAATACATGCTTTTTATATCTTAAGAAACTTTTACGAAATAATATTAAGTTTCAACTTTATATCCTATTTTTCTTTTTTTTTTTAAGAAATAAAGCCAGGTCTGTCTGCATGTTCATGCATAGTCTTCGCCACTTCATAACGACATTTGAACATATGCATATTGTGCAATTATAACATTAATTTGTAAATCTCGCTAACCTCACTGCAACAATGAAGAGGCTCAAAAAGAAACAAACTTCAAACGACATTTCCAAACGTTACAACCTTTATTCCTATTCCAGTCTTGCTATATCAAACAGCAATAAATAACCAATGGAATGGAAGCAACAGAAGCCAGGATGGCTCAGTCGGTGTAGCAACGGGTTAGAGTTTGGAGAATTGGGGTTCAATTCCCTGCAGGGTAAGGAATGTTCCTCTATTCCGCAGCATCCTTAGGCTTACCCCGTCTTGTAACCAATGGTTATGGGGGATATTTACCCGGAGGTAAAGAGGCCGGGGAGTGAAGCTGACCACTCGCTTTCATCTACTGCCAAAGTCAATAACGGTGGAGCTATGCCTTCACTCCCCATACGTCTTGATGGCAGGGGGTTCAGTCAGTTAAGCACAGAGACAACGTTACGTATTGTAGTGCAAGAAACGGCACATAAGTCGTAGTTTTGGAATATTTGAGCTCTGTTTTGCAGGAATTTATTGATCTTTCGTTTGATTTTGAAAGAACGTCTTCCTACGCACCGCTTCCTCTGAAATAGGCTTTTTTAAATTATGAAATGCTGGGTAAAATTAAAGCTTGAATGCAAATGGCGACTGTGTTACGTAAGCAGAACTGTGACACATTTGTTTGTCGATTCGACTTGACCCAGATACTGAAATAAGTCTATTTCAAATTAAAAATTTACTTAATACTTTATGTATCATGCTTCACAGTGGCACTAGTTTCCTCTTGCTCAGGTTTAAGGACTCGTATCGGGGAGTTTTGTTTGCCTCCATTTTAAGAAAATCTTCCTTCTTTCCTTCCTCCTTCTACCTATATCTCAGTGTCTATCTTTTTATAAACTTCCTTATCATACGATTATTTTTCCATTTTTCCTTCCTTTTCCGTCCCTTTGCCTTACTCTCTCCCTATTCTCACAGTTCTTTTCACTTTGCTTTCTTTTTTCCTTCTCCTTCTAATTTTTTCCTCTGTCTAATATTTATTTTCACACTTCTGTCATTTTGTTTTCTATGTTTCTAAGGTAGGAACCTGAATAGCTCAGTCGGTATAGCGACTAGGTTAAGGGCTGAACAACAGAGGAGTCGGGGTTCAAATCCTGTCAAAGGCAAGATTCCTCTCCTCTCCATAGAGTCCAGACAGACTCTGCGGCCCGTCAATTTTCCTATACAATTGGTACCGGGGACTGTTCCCTCGAAATCAAAACGGTAGGAGCGTGAAGCTGACCACTCACCTCCATATAGTGTCGAGGTTAAGAATGGTGGAACTATATCTCCACTCCCCCAGGCGTCTTTATGGCACGGTGTTCAATTAATGAAGCGCAGAAATAACTTCACATTTCTTCTTTGTCTTCAGTTTCTGTCGTTCCTAATTTCTATCCCTGTTGAGTCTTTATACACCGAGCTGAAGTCTCGCTGAGCGGACCGCTTAACTTGACTGACGTCTACCTTGATATTCCTTTGTCTCCCAAGATAATATCTCACAGCAGACCGTTACCGCTTCTTGCACGTCATCTCCTCATTACTGTACATTATTTCCCATACAACTCGTTGATGAAGCAAGCTTCCGACAGCACCGTCAAATATAGCATAAAACAAAAACAAACTCCGTGACCTGTAGTCCGCAAACAAACTATACCGACCTAGCGACCGCCGCTTGTCGGCGAAGTTAGTTCCAACTTTAGCGGATAGAGTGTGTCACGTGGTCAGCGCAACGAATCCCCAAGGCCATTAATTTGGTTTTCTAGACCGGAGCCGCTATTTCCTTGAAATAGCTCCAAAATTATCCTCACGAGGCTGAGTGGACCCCGTTTCAGACCCACTACTTCTCAGAAATCTGGTATCGCCGGTAATCGAACCCAGGACCTCTGAATCTGTAGGCAGGAACTCTGAGCACTAGACCACAGAGGCGGTCAAATATATCATAAATAAATAGAAATAAACACCGAAGAAAAGTCTGTTCTAGGAATCAGATCGTGTTTGTATCAGGCCATAATCGTTTTCAAGTTTGTATTATAGTTTCATTTCAGTTTCTTGTATTACGGGCTCCAGCTGCACTATGGCCCTTGATGTCGACTCAGCCTCTAACAGAAATGAGTACCATTAATCTTTCTGGGGGTCAAGGGCGGCCGGCTCTTAAGGCTGACAAATTCACCGCCATCTGTGAACCGATTGTCTAAAAAATTTGGGATCCTCGAAGTCTCACAAACCCATGGGCCTCCACGGCCTGATACAGGGATAGCTTTATCTTTATTATGGGCGCCGTAAAGATTGTGCCAACTCCAACTGGAGGAACAACAGAAAAGAGAAGCGGATCTCTCCATAGTTGTGTGGCCACATAAGTAGCGCCACAAACCGTTTTCATGATCAGAATTAGTCCTGAGCTGAAGGACTGGAACTAAATATCCGGAGGTGGGGAGCAGATGCCTTATTTACCCTTCCCCCCCCCCCCGTGGCGACATCCATTTTGGTATGTTTATATGTGTACTGTTTACCAGAATGTTGCTATTTCACCACGTTTATGTAAATGAGGAAGCGAATATTTCAAGTGAGAATATTCTTACGAAACAAAGTTCTCCCGCCTTTGCAAGGCTGCCAAATAAAACAACTGACGCCCCCGTATAGCCTACCTCAAGACATGCAAAACGTGATACTTGGGAACTCGCGTGACCGAATATTGACTACGAGTCCTTAACAAAGCAGATGTATGTAGTCTCACCGCTTTGCGGCAATTCCTGACGTGTACTTGAACAAATTGCAGTCCAGCGTGTTTTGTTCTTGCTTGTCGGGGATGTCACCTTCTTGAACGTACATGAAGACAGGATCTCTGACGCCACAGTTCAACATCTGGGCACTTAAACAGTGAAACTAATTCACAGGAGCCAGATTTTCCCTTAGAACCAGATAGTCGCTTAGCTAATCAATACGTTTCACGCCTTCTGATCTCTATGCTCACAATAGCCCACTGCTGCAGATTTTCATGAGCTAGATTAATCCAGTCCCCATCCCCACACATTACTTTCCTAACGAATAAACTACTACAAGCGGTTATTCTTTGACATATATTCGACAGGCGTCCTGTTCGAATCTCGCCTGGGACATAAAATAGCGAGAGACTTTTCGTGATTTTCCTCAGCTCTATCAAGCAAATGTCTAGAGATTAATTGAAATTAGGCAAAGATTGTTTCCTTTCACACATTTTCCAACCCATTCTTAACCAATCTTTAGACACCACAGGCTACAGATAGCCATACTGAGAGCAGCTGTAAAAGAACTACAAACTCTTTGTTATTTTAGATTAATTTTAATATGTAGTATCATCTCATCTACACCTAAGTTTTCTATGTTGTTTAGCTCTTTCAGGTTTTCGGTTGAAAGGCTGTAGGTACTCTTAATTATTACCTTAACATGTGTCCTGCATGTTCCACTCAGCCTCCTTGACTTGACCACAGTAAAATTGTGAGATTTGAGGCTTTCACGGCGGTGACTGTGAAGAAAGCAGTCTTCTGGGATTTGGCACCGTGTATATGTGGTGTTAACCGACGTTTCGGAGGAACGTATCGCCTCCATCTTCNTTGTAAATAAAAGTGCCCATAAACATTTTTATAACACTGAAATTGTTTATTTGTTAAGACAGTGTTATGAATATAGATCCCTTTTGACCAGCCTTCTGCCTATTTGTTATATCAATCTAATTTACAGCTCTGGCTCAGCAAAAGATCGATTTATATATCGAATTCATAGAGTCGAAATCAGATAGGGTGCAGATTGATTCCAAAATGACAAGCGATACAAATACTTCTAGGAATGGATTCTTTAACGTCTCATCCCTCTAGGATTGTTCTAATTGAATCAGAACGTCAAAAGTGTAAAGGAAACCCCCCGAAAGTTCGCGTTTCGGAGCCAATCGAATCCAACACTAACGCACTTCAAAGGGTGACGTTAAGATTAGGTATATGACTGATAAAATATTGTAGTTTTGAATGAAAAGTGTCGATATGTTTGTTTTAATAACATTTTACGATTGTCGACCTAATTTGTACTGGAGACTGAGGCATTGTTTCTCATATAGCAACTGTGAGGTGAGATGAGAGACATTTCACATTCATCGAATTTCTTCAGGGTTTTGCTTTACATTTGTGGAACAAAAATTCATATAAGGTCGAATCTGGCATTAGTTTAAAATAAATTTCGTTAATATTAACATTTCTTTGTAAGTCTCTAGGCTTGAACTAAAACTATTTAGTAAATATTTTGTAATATCTTCATTATTTTCACACGCCTATGGACGTATTACCACTCAGATTATCCGTTTAAGTCAGTTGGATAGCAAGATACAAAAAAAAAAAATCTCTAGCGCTGGACATAGACTGCAACTTATTGACACAGAAACCGCTGTATTAAAAAAAAATCTTATATATGCCTGTAAGACCACAAAGAAATTCTCAAAATACGACGCTGTTCCCAGTCTGTGCCCCATTAAGATGCACGACACAGAAAATGGACCAGCGTAAAATAATCTGTTGTAAGAAGATAATATAAGAGAATGAATATATTATTTTCGTAATCGGGTGGAAACGGCCCCTCCTACCAATTGTATAGGAGGCCATCTTGTCCCCAAAGCCAGTTTAGCGGCTATGAATCAGTACATACGACACAGCACGAACGTAAACTACACAACTAACAATAAGAACATACACTCAAGAGAAATAAACGACATCTTCTACCATCGGGAGGAAAACAACATGACCCAATGTTGGTTCACGATTTTTAACATAATAACTAATTTTTTACATACAATAGATTTTTAATACAATTTAAAATACACAGGGAAGCTATTTTATGGAAAAGTGAACATCATATTGCGTGCAGTGGGAAATCCCAATCAGAATACCCAGCAAATACGCTTAAACAAAACAACATCATAAGTAAATCTACACTTCAAGAAGCGTCAACCTGAATGCATAAGGGAAACATTAAAACTAGCTGTGATATAGCGAGCATTATTCATAACCTAAGTGCATATTTTAAAATTATGTGACAGTGTTTCCTGATCGTAGTGGTGCGCCTCTGAGGATGATTCTTTTGGATCGAAACATGTAAGGTGAATAAAGACTGAAGTGTTGTAAACTTGTATGTCACACTGGACTGAAAATTATCTACTTTGTAATTAATAGTGTGACGGACCAGAATGAGACAAATCAAATTAATCAGAGAAAAATATCTTCTCCCTGTCGGGAACTGCACTCTGGTCCTCTGTCCCGAGGTCCGTAGCTATAACGACTGAGGTATTCCGTCATAAGCATTATTTGGGGCGTAGTAAGAATTCTCCTACTACATTAAAGCCTGGACATTACATAAAGCGAATACTGACGATAAACTTACACTGTTTTGCTTCGAAGTCTAATGTTTATTTGTAGTATGTCGAGATTGCAGTATATCTAATTATATTTTCATGTGTGTATCGTCAACAGATAAGATTATTTCAGCTCATTAATGAGACATGTAATGTGTTGGATACAGTGTAAACCTTCTTTTAGGTGCACCTTCACTCCTTCATCAAACTGAGTTTCTGAAGTCTGAATGATCTAAACCACTGTGGTGACTTCTTGGTGACGTGAAGACTTTCGATATATCGAAAGTATTTGGGTGAAACAAATGATGCATTGTCTCCAGTTTCCATCATCTGTTTAGCTGTTTGTTAGCTATGTTTCATAATATATGATTTGGATTTTTTGGTGTCATATATTTGTGTTTTGGAAATAAGTATCTACCAATTTTGTGTTAAAAACCGCACAAAGTTTCGTTTCACTAATAATAAATATATTAACTATTTGTAGCACTGACCATGCTATTAAATAACTCATTCCGAGCAGTGACCCAAAAGATCTAATATCACGCTATTCTCAGTGAAATTATTAATGTGTGGTGCCAGTAGTCCTGTTATCGCAGGGTGATTCTATAACAATTAAGATCGCCGTCATATGCAAAATAGCATTTTGGGAAAGACATGTGCAGTCCACACTCTCAGATCTTTCTATGGACTTGCTTGCTACAGACTACAAACTCGAAGCTCAGTGATGAGGTTTCAGTTTTCACGGAGGCGAAAATTCAAATTGCAGTCTTCTTGCTTATGACAATTGGTGGGTGGATGAGAACGATTCGGTGGAATATATTACCTCTATGTTTATTTCCGTCGACTTCCTAGAAGTTGGAGGCAATATGATCTCTCGAAAAGTTGGAACCCCCCTCCCAGATTACACCCAGCCCATAACATGAATGATCACTTGCCTACCGAGCCCACGAAGTAGAATTACTGCTATTACCAAGGCGGAAATCAGATGGCAGCGTATCAGTCGTATCAAATTTCGGCCGGATGGTCTTTTAGCATTCACTTCTGGTAAATGTCACTAGAGGGCACAGTTGCGAGGCGTGCATGCATATCTAAACTGCAGTTGATCCATGTTCATTTGTGTATTTCTAGGCCAGGGAATGGTGGAGAAGGGACACCAGTTCTAGTTTTGTGTTGTGTGTGGTCTATAAATGTCGTTAGGTGGAATAGTGCCTCTTTCTACGGCAGGATGAAGTTTTTCGATACTTTGGTGAATGCCTCCATACTTCTGTATAATTTAAAATAATGTTTGTTGTCAACTGTGAGAATTAGTTATTAACATCTGTAAAGTATGACATTTCAGCGTGTGAGTGATATTCTGTTTTTTAAGTAGGACAGCTTTTCTGTTGCCGCTCAGAGAATATGAAAAGCGACCGATTTCACATAGAGTTCATTAGTGTCCAACAGAATTTCTTCGTTGGATTCCTACTCTATTCTTTTATTAAGGTAAGTGTTGAACAGTGGTTTTTACAGTTTGTGATATGTTGTGTGATCAGTGGATTATTTGACGTATGCGGTCCGCGAACCACAAGTTTCATACAACCCATTTAAAAATAGTGAAAATGCATTTCTGAACTTCGGGAGAGTTGTATTTGCATGATACATTTCTTTTGATGTGTGTCAGCTGTGCATCCACATAATGCTGGACTGTGGTATTCACAGTGAAAAGAAGTACATTTAAAAAATAGATTTTATTTACATTCCACAGATCCTTTGTAGGAGTAAGCCGAGAAGGTAGAACAGGCCATATTTCATAAATCCTTCGCTGTTTTAGTAAAATTTCTGGGATGACAGCTTACAGGTGACAAAAATATTTTGTAGTGTCAACAATGTAATTTACTTTTCAGTCTGAAATAAAATGCACTGTTTATTAATAGAGATTTCATGGCATGTTAAAGAATTCATCCAAGCTGTGCTGTTTGATTTCATCATCCAAACAAAATCTTGCACAGCTGTTATATTTATTACTAATCATAGTTTCTTAATGCATTAAAAAAATAAATTTCACTAATTCCAAAGTTGGCCTATAGACTTAATTCTATAACCATTCCACCCATCTTTCTTCCCTACAATCCACATCTCAAGATCAATCTTAATGTTATCTTTTCAACATCTTCCAGTCCTCCAAATAGATTTTTTTTTTCCAGGAAGTCTGCTCATCAGATTTCTACATATTTTCCTCATGTCCACCTTGGCTTCTTTGATTTCACTATCCAAACATTATGAACTTACATGTAAACCACGAAGTTTTTTATTAAGTAACTTTCTAAACTACTTACTTACTTCATGTTTCAGTCCGCATATTTTTCTTAGCATTTTCTTTCCAAAGGAATGTAATTTTTGTTCTTCCCTTGGAGTATGAGACTCCATGTTGTTAGTGTTATAAGGCATTCTGTGTCTTAAAATATTTCGAAATTATTTGAAGTTCATATTTTATTAAATCCTTATATGCATTAACCCCTTCACTGTGTATTGTTTCTTGCTATTTTAAGGTACACATATGAAAAAGAGCTCAACAGAACCCAGTGAATTAAGTCCAGTGACAGTGAAAGGAGAGTTTTAGTTCTTGACGTGGACTGAAGTTGTTGGCTTCAGTCAAATACAACAGCAGTAGGGCTAATTTTGCAAATGTGTTCATATATTAAGCTTTTATGTATTTATTTCAAGACCAATACAAGTGACTTTCACAATGAAATTATAAATAAATGAATGGTGGGAATTCTTTTTAACTAGCTGAATGACTGTTACTGTATGAACAGGTATTGTGCTCAAAAGAGTTGATATTTTGTTTGGAAACATCCCAAATACCTGTCCATATTTCTAGGGGTACAGAAACAAATGTCTGCTGCTGTTAGCCAATTGTTTGAAGGCATTGGTCTGAAATTAGGTTCCTGTCTTCCATTTCATCACTAATTCGTTAGCAGATTAATGATTTTTTTTTTACTTCTTTTGAATAGAATGGACCTCCTCAACTTCAGTATATTATTGTAGAGTAAAATAGGTGTAAATTATACCTGACTTCGTAATAGAGTTTCTGTAGTTGTTAAAAGTTCATGTTTTGTTTTTGAAGTAGCAAAGTTATATTCTGCAAAGTTTTTGTATAACAGTAAGACTGGGAAGGGGCCGCGCCAAAGCTCAAGCGGGTAGTCGTTGGCTTCCCACCGCAGCGGCTCGGGTTCGATCCCGGGTCTGGTCAAGTGGGATTTGTGGTGGACAAAGTGGCGCTGGGGCAGGTTTTCTCCGAGTACTTCGGTTTCCCCTACCAATCTTCACTCCACCAATTGCTACACAATCACCCTCACCTATCATCTGGGGCTGGTACAATAGGCCAGAAGTGGCCGCAGTACAAGGGATTTAGTCCCAACCCAGTAGCAATTAAGAAAAAAATTACTCAAGTGCTCCACATATTTTAAATAAAAACGTTAAATATGTCAGTCAAAACAATCTATGAAGAAACGTAAACACAAAACGCACTTTTAAAAATATTACTTCTAGTAACCAATTTAACCATTATTTTAAAAGTAAAAGAAAAAATGCTTTATGCGCAGGTTATATCTGCCCATCTATGTGTAACCAAGTGTCACTGCCTCTACCGTTACACAGACTTTCTTCAAATTCAACATAAGAGGCTTCAACTGAAAGGTTTTTAGTCATGTTGACTGACAGTAAAGCCCACTTTACAAAAGGAAATAAATGGACTTCTCAAATACCCCATAAAATTCACAGATAATGCTGGAATTTTATGTAGAAGGCTTCAACTGAAATGTTGTTGGGAAATTCTAATTTTTTTTTACCATACTGGTCTCTTACAAAGCCTGGGTTATGTAAGGGCATAAATTTAGTGTTTCATAGATTTTGTTGAAATTCGACATGGGAGGCTTTCATACTTCAAATTTCACTACTCACATTTTTGAGGATGCTTCATAAACCTCAACAAATGCTGCAGATAAGTCTGTGTACTACAGTAAGGAATGAACCCTTCCCAATCTTAATTCGCTTAGTCGGGGGTGGAGTCCAACTGGGTCCACTCGGCACGGCGGCCAATGATTGGCCTCTTGTACCTGCCCCCGGTGATTATGATGGAGAATTTGGTGGAATGAAGATTGGCAGGGGAAACCGAAGTACTCGGGGAAAACCTGCACCAGCGCCACTTTGTCCGCCACAAATCCCACTTGACCAGACCCGGGATCGAACCCGGGTCGCCGCTGTGGGAAGCCAGCGACTAACCGCTTGAGCTATGGCGCGGCCCTGAGCACTTGAGTAAATCACTTGACATAAGCGGTGTGAAGCAGGAAGGCACCATTCCCCCTCTGAAGTGATGACACTCAAAAGTTTGTGTCTTTCTTTAATTACATTGATTGGCTAGTGTACTCAGCAATGAACCTTGGACTTTTTTCTTTTTCCACCTTGGCACTACAGCACCAGTGGGCCTAGGCCTACCTCTATGAACTTCTCCGTTCACTTCGGTTTTTCTAGATCTTACACATTCGGTAGGACTCCTTGGGCGGGTGATCAGCACGTCGCAAGGCCTTTACCTGTACGCAAACACAGAAAAAAAAACACACACACAAAGTAAACATCCATGCCCTGAGTAGGATTTGAACCCACGATCCCGGTTTCCAAGCGAGCGAAGACAGCCTTAGACCGCTCGGCTACCGTGACCGGCGAACCTTGGACTCATTCCAGTATTATTGAAATTCCTGAAATATGTGTGATTATCAGTAGGTATTTTAACGTCGGAGGTTAAAGAGTGTCAGATGAAACATAACTTTATGAATGATGAACATGCTCGTTTGTCTTGTACTAAAAGAGAGAAAAAAAAACTATCAGTCTGCATAGACCTGTCTGCTAAATGGAAAGCAGATTAACCGGTTTCATTTGTCTTCAAATATCAAACTACATGTTTGTTGTTAATTAGTTATTATTTCTCATGACATATGTGTTTACTAACCGATTAATTTATTGAAAAGGGATGATTAATCAGTGAGAGAAATAATGGATAAATATTCAAGAGTTTAATTGGTAACAAACTCCTTCAATCTCGCTTACTTTTCCAGTCGCCATAAATTGATGTATCTCTGGCATCTGGCTGTTATACTCTCTCCCTCTCCCTCTCTCTCTCTCTCTCTCTGTATGTGGCTGATGTATTGTCGGTGTGCCTGCACAAACGCACATGTAAAAGGCAAAGTTGTCCCTGAGCTTAACTCATTTAGCACTACGCCATGAAGGCGTATGGGGAGTGGATGTATAGATCCACATTTTCTTGACCTCGGCACTAGCTGGAGGTGACTTGTCAGCTTCACGCCCCGCACCTACATGTATGGAGTGATTCTAAAGTGTGGCCAGACTTTAGGATGTTGGGGTGGGGGTTAAAGACCAGAAAGTGTACATGTATTGTTCCATTCATCATTCGTGTCGAGTTTAAAAAAATAAATAATTCACCCATCATGTACACATTTGGTTATGTAACAGTTTTATTTATTACCTTTCATTACAATTAACGAAAATCAAATATTCCGAAGTTATTAGCTTTTTCTTCTTTTTGAATTTCGTATTATGTTTAACAGAATATCTGGTCGTGTAATGGGCACTCGCATAGGCGTAGTTCTGCGTATTCGTTCGGAAGAACTGCTGTCTCACCCACACCGAATGGAGTCTCTGACCACGAAACCAGATGTGTAGGTTGGACCTTTAATGCATGTCACAGCTCCCAGGATGCTTTTGATCGGGTCATCGAAACCTTTTACTTCCGTAGCATAAACATTTTCATGTATGCCTAAACACGACAAAAATAAAGTAGATGCAAGTCAGGAGAACGTGGAGGCCAGAGGATAAGCGCCACATTTTTCTATCCATGTGTCCGGAAAGTGGTTGTTCAGTCAGTTTTGCGCTTGTCGTGAAAAATGAAGAAGGGCTGTAGTTAGGTGGTAATCCTTCAATAAAGGGAGAAAAGCTGTGTCAGTGATTCGCTGTCACGTAAGGCCAACTTAGGCCGTGCCGTAGCTCAGGCGGATAGGTGCCTGCTTCCCACCGCGGAGGCCGGGGTTCGAGCTCGGGTCAGGTAATGTGGGATTTATGGTGGACAAAGTGACACTGGTGGAGGTTTTCTCCGAGTACTTCATATTCCCCTACCAATTTTTAATTCACAGTCTGCTCCACACTCATCATCTATCATCCGGGGCTGGTGCTATAGGCGAGGAGTTAGTGGCCGACGTACTAAGCGGATTGTGTGACCCCACCCCAAGAAACTAAAAAGAAAAAGGTCAATTTACATTATCGTCTACGATTTCTACTGAAACGTTTGCCGCTGAAGAATATTTGTTGAGATGAAGAGCGTCTATTAGCATGAGGATTTAGTGGTACCCATTCATGTGCGTAGGTTGTGGAGGTTGTTTACTCCACTCCTGTAAATGTTGCCTCACCAGTCCACAATGCTCGGCAGACGA